TCAAGGGCCAAATATAATTATATCGCGGGCCAAATTTGGCCCCCGGGCCTGAGTCTGACATGTCTGGTCTATGGGAATGATGAAAATGCTGCCATAACAATTTGCAAAATAAAATAAAATATTGATTGGTGAAAAGCCATTAAAAAAAAAAAAAATCACATAACAGGAAGCTGATGGACGCATCAATATTAACAATAAAGTACAGTGGCACATTCAACTGAAATTATGCAAAGTGGTTCTAGTGCTTGTACTAGTACCTGATCTAAATTAAGGATCTGCTTTTTCACATATAGCCCTACTGTATATTTTTCAGTGAGGTGATGTAGGTTTAAAAATAAAGCTTCAGTGCTCAGTAAATATTTGTTCAGAAGTCCATAAATTAAAAAAGTCTGTTTAATTTAAATGCATAAAATAAAAAAAATAAAAAAAGACACTGCTACGCTACTATAATAGACAGTAAAGCCATTCAATGTTCAGAAAGAAAGTATTGTATTGAATGAGTGCGTTTCTCTTATAACTGAGCCTTACTATTCGCCTCACTGAATCAGCTGACTGGAGGAACGCAGTGCCCTGGCGCCTGGCTCTGCACATCTGGCATTTAAAAAGGCCCCAACACAAACTGCTGACACCACTGTTTCATGGACTCGCTATTTCAGACACCTGCTTCAAGAAATCTGTTGTAGTAAATTAGCATCAAACAAAATCGGCAATAATGAAAATATCCATTATCTTAAATGCTGTTGTAAGCATCCATAACTAAAATGCGTGACAAAATACAAACATGACCTTCGGGAACCCTTGAGTAAAGCTGCAGAGAAGGTAAAGGGCCCATATTATGCTATTTTCTCATCTATGTTATAATGCTGTTTCCTCATCAAAATCATACCTGGAGAAGTGCTTTGTTTCAGTCACACATACACACAAACCAAGCAGACAAACTTAGGCTACCTTGTGATGTTGTGTTTTTTTTTTAAACCCCATTCATCTTCACTAGAATCATTTCGATAATTTCAGTCCTGGAATTGCCAATCTCTACTGAACTAAGGGTACAAGATACCTGTTAACTTGAAGGCTAATGCTTCATTAATCACAAGGAACAGAGCATTTTCAGCTTTGCAGATGTAGACAGACAAATAAAACATGTGTGAATGAAACAAAACACAACTCTGGATATGTTTTTGATGAGGTAAGAACATTATAAACATGGCTTAAAGCTCACAAGAGTCAATTTTGTGTAATATAGGCCATTTATGCTTAAATTATCACCTGGTCACTCTGTAATAGTAGATTTAAATAGAGCCAATATGGGCACCTGGAGACATATCGGCTATCGGCCGACTATGCTTACTGATATGGGCCGATATTTCACGTGGGCATGTTATACCTCGTTATAAAGCTTAGACTCTCTACATTATGTTCATTTAATCCAATTTACAGACAGATAAATGTACTAATATGTGGCTCCGCATCAGTATTTATCTGCGGTGTCATTTGTCTGTGTGTACTGTCCCTGAACACACCACCAGAGTGACGTCACTTCACTCGCGTGTGTTTGTTTACACCCGTAGCGGTGCGCAACACTGAGATTATTTTCTTTTTCGGACAATCGGTTTGAGTCTGGATTAAAAGGACATTTATTAGTGCAGACTTGTGATGTGAGGAGGAGCCTGTGTGAGCGGTGAGTGTTGGAAATACATCGACTTTGAAGCTAGTTTAGGTTTTGTTAGCGGTTAGCTGCTGTAGCTCCCGCACATAAACAGGCTGTTTTCTATTGGTCTATTGTAAAGTGCCTTCATTGGCCGTATATTTGTTACTGGAGCTGCATTGTTATGTAAATGAGCTGTGAATAGACGTGTGAATGATCCACATTTATGCATATAATTAACTATCGCGGTGCGCAGCATTTACGGCTAAAGGCTAATAGCGATAGTTTACTAGCTAGGAGTTATGGGTCAGTCGCGATCGAAGCGGCTATTAGAGTCGGCTCTTTGAAGCGAACAACGGGAGCATGTTTCTTATTGGGAGCCGTGTTTTCTCTTTTTCTCACTTTTTCTCTTCATGCGGTATGTAGACCCATAGTTTGACAGCAGCAGTGGCTGAAAACGAAACTTTCAGAAATCTGCGTGTGCATAGGATAAAAAAAGTGCATATTTGGCTGCAGTTCAGCATAAAATGAATAAACCAGGACTAATCTTGGGCTCGAGTGCAGGAGAAAGATAGAAACCGAGTCCCGGCACTCAGTCCTGGTTCAGTTCTGGTTTAGTCCTGCTTGCAACAAAACAATCTCAAGAGTCGCTTGGGAGCCGAAAGAGCCAGCTGCTTTAGTGAGCTGAGCCAAAAGAGCCGGTTCTCCGAAAAAAAACAAAAAAAACAAAACTGGAATACCCATCACTAGTAGCTAGAATGTGATGCAAAAATGCCATTAGGCCAATCTACTGTATGTAAATATGATGTAAAGAGTCAAAATAACAATAAATGTTGCCTAAATAAACCCAATTTAGAATCCACTAGAGCCAAACCTAAGTTTTTTTTTTAATCAATTCAAGATTTACAGTGAATTTTTACATCACTAAATATATCGGTGATTATATCGGCAGCTTCAACTTCCATTATATCGGTTTCATATCGGCCACAACAAAATCCATATCGGTCAGGCTCTAGATTTAAATATAAAGAAATGAATATTTCACTATTTTCAGGGTTCCCACTCTTTCTCTGACAAAATTTCACAACTTTTCCATGACTTTTTCATGACCAAAATTAATTTTCCATGACTTTACGGCACCCTACATGTGTAGAATTTAGCATGCTTTTACTGTAAATATAAAATGTTAACCCTTTCCAATCACCTTATAGTTTGGTATAGTTTTATAACATTCAAAATACTGTCAGTGCATTTATTGTCATCTCTTTTAAAGAAAAAAGTGCATATGTTCGGAAATAATCATAATAGCCTAATGATTCCAGGCTTGGAAAATGACATTTTCAATTTCCATGACTTTTCCAGGATTTCCAAGCTTTTTTTTCCAGGACCCTGTATTTTGGAATGTGATGATTCAAATTAGGTAATTTCTAGGTAAAATCATAAAAATGTATTTGCAGTAGCCTCTATCAATCCGGCCACTACAGTCCAGTGTCATGGTGTTTGCATTAACTTTGATGTTTGCTTGTTTTGCCAACAGACCATGACAACGTCGATTGGTATTGCACAGATTTTCTCCCCACATTATTTCTAGTCATTGCATACATTACAATCACAGCTGCTCAGGCCAACTCTGCATCCTGAGGGGTCCAAGCTAAGAATAGAAACATGCATTATTAAGCAGACATGTTTACTGTACATGTATGAAGAAAGGCATGATGCTGTAAACATGGCCTAAATGTTGTTTGTGTTCCTTACAAAAAAAAACAGGACATGAAACTATGAATTAAACTGTGATGATGACGGAACATACTGAAAAATGTCAAAGCTCCAAAAAGTTATCTGTTATCTATGCAGTTTTTGTGCCAGTTTAAGGATGTTAAAGATGAACTATAAAACTTGTCTGGTAGTGCATCTGCTTACTGTTTAGCTTCATGAGATGTAATTGCTTTGTTGAAATGTTCCACAGTATGGCATTAAGCTTTTAAATCACACATATATTCATTACAGCTGTTTTTCATTGTTAAAATACCTTTTAAAAACATGCATTCTTAGTGTGAGCAGGGTTGTCTTTCCACAGATGTCACTTGTAAGCCTGGTGACGTCACCTGCTTGTCTCCATGAAGACAGAACAGTTTCATACTGTGGAACCTTCCATGAAAAAAATAGCAATGGGGCTTGTAATTTGAATGAACTTAAATATAATAATGTGTTAAATATTTATATAAATTTATTTACAAACTTAAGACTAAAGGAGTTTTTGGTGCAGTAGCAAACCTGGCAAACAAGACACCGTGACATGCATTTTTCAAATTATGCACAGTGTAGCAGTATACAGGACAACTTACAGTTGACTTAAATGTGACTTCCTTATTTTTGGTATATTTTTAGTCTTGACTAGATTTAGCTAATAAACTAAACCCTTAATGACATTTGGGTGTGACGTTACAGTGGGCCCACTCCCAGACTTGGGAAGTAAAAGAATGTACAGTTTACAAATGAGTCCAAAACACAGCTCACTCTGTAATGAATATAAATTTAATTTCCTTTTTGTTTACCTCATTGTCACCGAGTTGAATGTAATTGGGTACTTTAGTGTTTCCATGGGTCTTAATCTGTCGTAGTCATTATAGCAACAGTAAATGTTCAATAATTCAAGAAAGAACATTGCTGTACCAGGTTTGGTAAACTAGATATTCTGCTGTGACCAAAGCTGGCATTTTGGAAACAAGAAAGCAAGAGTTTAAAAAGTGCACTGTGTAACTTTCCTGTGTCTATGGATATGTCATTACTCTGCTGAATGTTCTACAATATGACATTAAACAGCTCTACCTTACATTTAGTCAATTACAGGTTGTTATATTGCTCAAAGAAACCTAAAAAAAACCTTGAAATTTTGACTGTAAGGGGTTGCCTCTTCACAGATCTGACCTGTAACTTGGCCTGGTTTGGTCTTCATGATGATAGAAGGGTTTAAGGCCATACTACAAAACATTCCAAACAAGGCAATAACATCTCCATGGAGACAAGCAGATGGCAGACCCTCTATTTGAAAAGTTACACAATGCACCTTTAATAAAATTCATACTTTCAGATAGCAATTGGTTGGCTAAATGAATATACCGGCTAGGTTTATACATTTCTGGAAACTATTCTAAATGTCAAGTCAATACAGGGAACGTATGTGCAGTGTGTTATGGCTAATGCAGCGAGCTATGACCCCAGAATAACACATTATGATCAATAAACAGTATTGATGAGCATACAACTTATGAATACATCTCCACGGTGACCTCAAAACTGCCCTTTACTGAAATGTGTTGTATAGTTAACTGTGTGTTGGAAAAATAAAACTACACCAGCTCTTTATCTTTATGTACATCACAATTTACAAGTACATCAGACAGAGCTTTGTGAAACCAGGTTTAAGAGAGTTTAAAAACAGCATTGACGGAACATGACAATAGACGTGTGGAGTAGTGTAGTGATGATAGGGTTAAATTGTGTAGTTTTTACAGTTTTTTATAGTGTACGCCGATACTGAATCCAAGAGCCAACCGCGAGTCACCACTGTAGCCACTCTGGAAAGACCTACAGGAATAAAGAACAGATTTCATAATTTACTGACTTGTAAACATTTCATTATTGTCCTATAAAATTATGGTTACAATTAATGTTATACAGATTTTAAAAAATGTGTTGGGGGGCTTTTATTATTTTGGATTGATAAAACATTTCAATTACTTAACCCAAATTCAGAGATTAACAATTAAACTTGAGCACAGCATAACTTAATTTTGAAAAGGCAACATGACCAGTGAACCTAATTATTTGAGAAATTATTGTGATGATTTTTAAATGACCTATGAATGCAACTGGTTAAGACACACTGCCAAGAACAGTGCAAGAATGCCAAGAAACAAGTCAAAGGTGAAACTAAATGAATTAGACAAACAAAAGTGTGCAAGAAGCTAACAATTGTATGTAAAGAAAATACATGTGATGCACGTAAAAATGTATGTAATAAGACTACTGATAGACGGCCCAGAAAGTCTCATAATACTTGAACTTTATTTATTCTGTAGTTACTAGATCAATAAATGACACACATTCAGATGAGTTCTGTCTTATTTCTTATTTTAAGGAAATAAATGCTGTTTTCAGTAAATTCTAGGGATGCACTGATCCATTTCCAGTTCCGATACGGATTCCAATAGGACTGGATTGGTTGTGGGATACAGACCAACTTTATTAAGGCAAGACACAGCAGGTGAATAGGAAAAAATCTTAAATTTTAAGTTTATCAATTTGAAACTTTCTGTAGTTTCTGCAAATAAATAGTTTTTATCTGTTTTTCATCATCAGACAGCTTTTCAATATACACTGTCCCATATAACTCTCTGGAAGCAAGTTGATTAAATTAAAAAACATCTTTCAGTGCAGAGTGGACAATTCTGCTGTGTCCACATAAAAGCTTGTATAGGAAGAGACCAAACTGACCTGAAAACAAAAACTGAAAAAATGAGTTTTGCCTCTAGTGCCTCCAATTAAGAAAGTGAATTGATTTATACCACTGTAATCATGTAGCAATAATTGACTTCAATATTAAGAGGAGATTGTTGCATGTTAACTTTTGATTTGCACTTTACATGACCTATGATACGTGTCAAGACTAAAGAAGCGCCATTACACTCAATGGAGCAGAGCACACAAGGGGGAGGGCACACTATGTTGGAGAAGGCATTTGAAAAGCATGTTGTATTACCTGAGATATGTGCACCAAAAAAACAGATAAAAGATGCATTAAATATTCAGAAGTACAAATTAGCCAGCACTGAGACCACTTATGTAAACCGTTAGCAGCCACATACGGCATTGATTTGAATCTTTGGCCCACTTGTACAGACATGTCACCCTTGACGCCAATCTGACATATCTTGTGGCCATGTCTCTCTATTTCTCGCTACCCAACTAGTTTCACACTTGCTTTTCCTGGCAGCGCTGACATCGGGGAAGCTTGTCTCATTGAAGCTGCCAGCGGTTGCCAACCATTTCTGCACGCTCGCTCTCTATCTCTCCATCTCTCTCCTCCCTTTTGGCGAATGGCGGCATGCCGTTGAGTCAGTGCACTAATGGGCCCACAGGTGCACAGGCGGGGGACATAAGCTTAGTGACCAGAAACTAACTGCCAAGGATTCTGACTCACCCTTTAGCTTGTGTTGGGTAAGTCATCTAACAGAGCAAAGGACTTTAGTGGCAGATTTATTGGTTTTAATTTAAAGCTAGTCAAGAAATCAAGATAACTAGATGTGAGTAAGCCTGTCAAGATAACAAAATAGATGATAAATGATAATACAGAAACTAATTTATGCCACTGGCACAAAAACCCCACAGCAGAGCTATCCCCCAAAATTGAAAAATGTACAATATAGTTACAGTGTGCATAATTAGAGAATGTTTCTAGCAAATGCTCTCCATGACATTTATGATTTTCCTTGACAAGAGGGAAGATGGGAGTTAAGATGGGAAAGACAACTCTGCAAACAGAGAGCCTGGCATTGTGGCATTATGCTGCAGCCTGAACCATGAGACTATTGTGTAGCACTTATTTTATTTTGGTAACACTTTATATGAACCTACACTTATTATAGCCTTAATAAAATGTGTACATTTTAAAAAAGAAAAAGAATTCAAGCTTAATTAATATCATTAATACTCAGCCTAACCCCCTAATTAAGTACTGACTTCTTAACTATTTGTTCATTGTGTCTTTGTTCATGCTTTATTAGGGCTAATTAAGGTGTAGTTAAAGTGGTACCCATTTTTTAACCTTCCATTTTGAGGTGTACAGTTTTATGTTTGGGTGCATTATTCTTCTCCACAAAGATTCAAGCGATGTTAAGTCATGCAAGGACATACAAGTAAAAATAAAATAAAATAAGACTCACTATTGTATTTGGACGCAGAAATATCTGATCCACTCTGCACAACGATCAGCTGACGAGATTTCTGATTAACAAAAGGGAATAAACAATTACCCATTATAAAAACAGACCACATAGAACACAATATAGGATAAGACCATAAATGAAGAATGTACAGTCTCTGTAATTGTTGGAGGGAGATGTTTTTTTTTTTTTTTTTTACTTAGTACAAATAATTAACATTTCAATTGCAGTGGCACATATTCATGGCCCTGTTTGACGAGTTTAACCCCAGAGACAACTTAAGTAAACTGGGTTTTGTGAGTCGGCATCAGAGGAGGTCATTTAGTTACTGTGAATAATCTTAAAAATTCATTCATCTGTGGCCAATGATAATAATTACAAAATTTGACAGACAAAATATTTTTTCAGAATGGTCTGTCCATTTATGCAGTCCCAAGTATTTATGTGTTTATTCTAGGTTTAGTATCTTCCTATCTTATGGTCTAAATTTATTTCTATCTGTCTGAGTTACACTTTTGAATCTAGATCACCATTTTGTAACTGCAACTAAAGGAAATTACAGCGCATAATCTTGACATTTTTTATTTTATTTTTTTCAATAAAGGTAAAATAAACATAGCAACACAAACATAAGGAATGGTAGACTACCTCTGCTCCTGTTTGTTACTACACTTAAGATGATGATGACAACATGTGTCAACACAGCAGTATTATTAGTAATTTAGGTATAGAGTTTTTGGCACCATTACCTGTTTCCCATCCAGGACAGATGGGTCTTTCACTACAGTGGCTCCACACAGCTCTGCCATCCACCCCATCTCATCTGCACACAGCACACCAAACAAAATATAAGAAGAGGACAATATCAAGATTGACAAATATGAATAAGCTGAAATGAAACGCTTCTATATTATATTAAGGGTTTAGATGGTAGTTCAGGTGACTCTATTGGTACCTGTAGGTGGATTTGCAGCGATAAAACAGGTTTGACGTTTGAACAAAAAAAAATTATGATTTTAAGATTTCAAGAAATTAAGATCAGAATTTTAAATTAAGATCAGGTAAGACATCCAGTCATTTATAACTGGCAATGCTTGGGTCTTTTAAATGGAGAGATCCGCAATCCTCAGTAAAATAATAAGGATGGATAAATGTGCTTATTTTAAATGGTGATAAATTTGGGTATTGCTCATCTTCAGGAAACTAATATTGGAAGAATTTTTTACGTGTTTTTATTAATAGCTCAATAAAATCAAATTCAAACTTGTGACTGATCAATCTGAGGAAAAAAAAAACAAAAAAAACAAAAAAAAAAAAACATCAGCTTGCCTTTCCTGGGAGGCATGAAGTAGACATTTCAGTCTTGCTTTGATCCGATGGAAAACATGTCAATACTTCAGTCTGCACTTAAATCAATGTGTGCTTCTCAGACAAAATAGGAAAAAAAATCTAGACATATCAAAGGTCAATCAAAAATATCTACATAACAAGTTCAACTACAGAAATCTGAATATGGGAAGCCAAATTTGTGTACAGTCTGAAAGTAAATTAGAGGCATAGCTGTCCAATTTAACACTACTTGGCAGGTATCTTTTGTGCCGTATGTTTGTGTCACATAAAAATGAAAAGTCTGTAAAGTGTGTGAGCAGATGTTCAGCCATTAGCAAAGCACCATCGATCTGTGCGGCAGCGTGAGGGGGTGTGGTAAGGATGCTACAGGAGCACTTTACGGAAAACGGAAACGAACGAACTGCAGCTCGGAGCTCTTTAAGTAATGTGACCCATGGGACCTTCACCCATGATCCCACTGTCCATTCAGCTACAGTACAGGGGAAGCCAAAATAACTCTCTTGTAAGTATGATTACCTTGACAAATGTGAATAATATATTGATATATATTGATTTTGGAACATTAGGAGTCACTTTAACAGTTCCACGAGGTTCAAGACAGTGACTCTACAACAGTGGTTCTCAAAGAGCGGTTTGGGGCCCTCTGGGAGGATTCAGAGGCATTGCAGGAGGCCCCCTAAGGTTATTCACAAAACAAGCATAAAAATAAAATTAAGTTTGAAATCAACCTTAGGTAAGATATTAGTCTAAATGTATTGCTTTATATTATTATTAAGCCTACAGGCATAATTATATATTGTCTAAAATGTGAATCTAAGGAAAAAAAAAACATTAAAATACATATGTAGTGTCAATTATTTGGGGGACCCACATGATCGACGGACTGCTTTATGGGATTTCTGATGCTAGTTACAGGGCAATATACCGGTATGTTTGAATTTTAACTTTATTTACATGGCTGCTATGTATTCTTTAGGTGCATTACGTCACTTTTTCAGTGGAGGGTCCACCACCTGTTCGTCTTCATGGAGATGTTAACGCTTTGCCCGGAATGCTCCAGAAACACCTTTAATTAAATCATGCATTTGTGTCCCCAATACATCTGATGTGCGACTTGGTCTGGTGGAGTCATTTATCACCAAGGAAATGTATAGATTTATACAGCACTGTTACTGTATTGTAATTTAGTTCTACATTTGACCCACGACTAGTAAACTGCACTAGCATAACAAAACAGTTGCAATTTTTTCTTCATCAAGCAAGAAGTAGATGGTTTTACTTTTACACTTGTGAATGACAAATAAACATCTAATTTCTAGTTTAATTACACATTTTATTTTGAAGCATGCAGTAGTTGTATCTCTCAAAAACACTGCTTCAACACAGTAAATCATAATTAGTGTGTGAAAAGAAGAGGGATGCTACAAGTGGAAATCAAAGCAATTACGAGTGTCGGAAAAGACCAAGCTAAATTTAGAGACTAAGAGAAAATTGTCCCCTACATTCAAGGAGTTACCTGTGGTCATGTCAGTAAAAGGCCCTTCAAAGCAGATCTTGTATCTTTTCATCAGCAACTAAAACAAACACAGAAATGACATATTTTGAAAACATAGTTAAACCCAATACCACAAGTGATCCCATAAAAATATACTGGCTATTTTAAAACATCTTTGAAATCGTGGGCTAAGCAACTGACAAGGACGTCTTGTTTACTAGATTTGAAGATAGACACTCAAGTTAGTGTTGAGAAAATAAAACTAATTTCTGATATCTCCCACTCGCACATAAAGAACATTAGCCTCTGGTGCTTTGCAAAATCAAATGTTTCTGTTACAGATTTTAATTTAGACAACACAAACTGTCCTTCAGAAGGTATTAGATGCGACTGGTTGATAACATGTAAATAAATCCTTATTGACTGGTTTTCTGGCTATTGCTGTTTTATTCATATGTCTCTTCTCTGGTTTTATATATGGCAAGAGTCAAAATGCAAATATGAATATAATATGAAATACCATGCCGTTTTCAAGCCCTTTAAATGAGGCTGAAATTAGCAGTAAATTCAATTAGCAGAGGTTCTTCAAAGGCTGCGCTGCGGCGGACATGACACCCAGACACTTCCAATTTTCCCCCTCAGTGCTGCCTGCTGTACCCCATGAGCTAAATCACCATCACATTTTGACAAAAGGTCCTGGGTCTAACAGGCTGGTGCAATACCCAGAAACTGCAGGATCAACTGCTATTTGGGGTCCCATTATAGCTATACAGTTTTACAATCTTAGAAATATTACTGAATTTTAAAGATTTTTTAACTTTTTACATTTTAACTCACAATGTGTATTACTTGTAATGTTTTCACCATTGGATATTTTTTGTTGGATCTTTCAGCGACATGTGGTTGTTTGAGAACAGCAGGGATAGAGATGCTTGCATTTTGTTTCACCAACTGTCACATTACAGTTTAATGCTTAGCCAAGTTTTCAAGAATAAATCAATTTGGTTTGGGTTTGATAAAAGGATTTGTAAATTGTAAACAAATACTAAAAAAAACTGAAGACAATATCTTAAATAAGCCTGGCCCACTAGACAACCTCCCTGAACATGTTCGGCTAGGATTATCATTATTAGAGATAAATGCTGCAAAGATTGACAAAAAAAGAATGTAAACAATTACTAAAATGTGTTCCATCATTTTGGGCTTTGGTTCTCTATACATTAATATTTGACGATAAAGGTATTAACTTAATAAAAGGTGACAATATTGTCTGACATTTTGCATTACATTTTGTTAGTTCAGGACCATGACATAAAAAAATATCTTTGGACAATTTTTGGATTAACTGTAGTTTAGTGCCTTGTAGTATTGTAACAATAGGAATACACAGAACTGTACACACAATCAAGACCAAAACCTACATCGTCATCATTTGTGGTGCGTGCTCGCATGGGCCCCTGGTGGTTGTGACCGTTCACTACATCTCCCTTTACTTCAAACAGGCTCTGTTAAAAAAATAAATAAAATGAATAACAAACATTCATATACATTTGTATTTTTTTAACCATGACATAAACAGGGTCAAATTGCTACAGAGTTCATGATTGTGTTGTTAGAATTTTGAGTTAGCCAAATGTTAAACCGATGGATATTTTAAGATGTTAAATACTAAAACATAGCGTGCATTTACAAGTAATTTGATTCTATAGTGTGATACATGAATCTACCAGTAGCGGCTTACTTTTTTACATTTCGTTTGCCACTGTATCCCTATTGAAATTTTGCATGGCTGGCCAAAAATGTAAAGTTTTTGACATTCAATCCAGAGATCTATTATATCATAAATAGCAGATCTAGGTTGAGGTTTTAAATTAATGACAATCACAAATGTTGATCTGTGCATAGCTCAGTGGCAGATGCTAGGGTAGTTAAAGCAAAAAGATTACGAATAATGTATGAGGTATCACAACAACCCATACAAGAGGCTTCATCATAGTCCCTTAGTTCACATTAAATCTCTGAGAAATGTATTCCGACTATAAAAATAATACACATTTTAAAGTACAGCAGAGGCTTACAGACCTCATCCAGCAACTTCTTTTGTTTGAAGCACTCAGAAATCCCTGCGGAAAGGGAAGATTCAAGATTATTATGTAAAGCAAAGATATGTTAGACAATTACGTCACACTTGTAAGCCATTATGTTGACTGTTCAGTAACAAAGAGTAGAGAGCTAAAGTGACTTACATTGAAAGCTTACGACCCACTTTCGTCCAGCGATGCCAAGGAAGTATTTGAGTGTGCGCTCACAAACCAGCTGCTCATCTGTAAGAGAAAGATACAGTGATTACGCAGCAAATATACACAATGTTTTTAAAAGATTTTTATTTGTTTAAAAAGCAAAATGTATGACTTGAAAGACCAAAAGCTTAATGAATTGAAATGTTTGGTGTCTGGTTTCATGGAGGTTGGTTAAACTTGTAGTTTCATTTTTTTAATTCTTAGAAACCCTGTTAAAAGGGGCATATATTTAATTCCTTAAATTCCTTATATCCATGTGTTCTATGCTCCTCAGATTATAGTTTAATTTTAAGGGCTAGGAATCTCAGGGTACTCTTCAAAACAATAGGCAATAAATGGCTTTCAGTACTGATATGGTGATACTGCCATAACTGATATACTGGTATCACAATTAAGACCAATACATTTTAAAAATATCCCTTTGGAAAACTACAGCAAAGTCCAACTGCATACAATTATTTTCCAAATAAACAAAAGATTAGTGGTGCTTGATGACCGATATATATATATATATATATATATATATATGTATTAAAAAACAAAACAATATTTATTGTTAAATATTGTTACAGCACCCTGCAATAACAATAATGTTTCACAAGCTCAAGTATCACAATATCAATATGGAAGAATGATTTAACTATCACAGTTAACAGTTACTGCTTAAGCACACTGAATATACGACTCAATTTCATTACTGGAGCCACTTATCTCACAAATGAGGCAGCCTTTACATTCATCATCACTGTATAATTAAACATTTGGCATTTGTTGTTGCCTAACAACGAGCTCCACAGCCCTGTCGTTGGGCAGGTAGACTTTTAATAGAGATTGATATGAGGTAGTTTTAGTGCAATGTGCATCAGCCAGAAAAATGTCTTCAGTGTAACTGTAGCCAAAACAATATAAGTAGCATGAATACAATAATGTACAATAATGTACATTAAAGAATGAAGTTTGATATATTGCTGAAGTAGATATAGACGATAAATGATAATACTGCAATTAATTTATACCACTGACACAATAAAGCAGATTTAACCCACACACATCAGCTAATGAAATACTTTAGTACTTAGTTTGCATCTGTAATGAGTCACAGAAGTTATTACTTAAATCTTTTTACGCGTCAAATCTTGTATAGCCAAAAATAGCCCAAAATCTCCCAGTAATGCAAATAAAATGCACGCACAATAACTAATGAGCCCAAAAATATATTGTTCAAGCTTTCATATAGTAAACAATAAGTCTATATAATATTTATCGTGACAGGCCTAAATCTCAGTCAAAACAATGTTTGATATGAGTGTCTTGTGAGAAATCATGAGCTGTTTCCAGCTTCTCGTTGCCCAGGTAACGACTGACATTAAAAACAGACGTCTTCTTCAGTCGTTAATGTGGCACTTTGACGAGCTTTGAAATTAAAAATAATCTATCAGTGGGTAATTAGCAACAAGCATATGAGTGAGGGCAGAGTGTGTGGGTGAGAGAAACACAGGCGGATCACACAGAAGACGTCACTCAGTACAAGCTGCCACCATGAACATGTCAACTGTAAAATGAAGTATAATTAAGAGTATATAGTTCAAATGTTGTACAATGGTAATAATATTAGTCTTTTCCTGTACTTCTATATTTTAAATGATTATTCTAGCATATTGTGATTGATATGCTAGAAAAGAGATCGCACTTTACAGATAGAAATCCTTCTGTCAGTCACTCGGAGCCAAATGAAAGCTGATCAATAAGGAGTATGTGAGGACAGATGCCTTGGCCATAAAGCTGCATGATACAAATAGCACTGCGTTACAATAATTACAATATACAATTATTACCAAAATAGGATTATTACAGATTAGGTTTTTTACCATCATAAATGCCCAGTCCTGCTATTTTATTACAATATCATACAGTCCTATTATGTATATATATTTTTTTATTTATAATGGGTACTAGCCATAGACTGTATATATAAATGAACATAGGTAATGCACTAGCCACCGTATTCCAAATAGGAAGTTTGCATGCCGGCTCCTTCTGACCTTGGCTCCCAATGACTTACATTGGAATACTGTGGCCCCTCTCTCTATAACTGCTGCTGTGAGGCTCGTCATTTTAGGCTTAAAATGTTCGTCAAAAAAGTAAAGTCAATGGTACTAGGTGGTACCTGTGTGCATTATGATGTGAGTAACATCTGGCATTACATGAGAAACCACACGGGAACCAATTCTCTTTGCAAACTTTTTCACCATTATCTGCAAAGAAAACAACACTTTATAGAACAATCCACGACAACAACATGCACATTAAAAAAATTGAATTAAAAGCAGCGATTTGGACCTGTTCACTGGGCCCCAGTCCAGACGACACCAGCACCATTTTGGGTTTTCTCGTCTCGTTCTCTTGGTTTTCTTTGTCTTCAGACAGACACTCACGCGTCTTATGACTTTGGGTTGAACTAGATGTGGCGACTGTCTTTGTAGCAGCAGCAGCAGCCAGATCTTTGTGTGCTGAACTTTGGGCTAAAATAAAAACTATATCAGATTATTAAAGGCTATGTGGACAAAACTAATTGAAGTTAATGTCAATAAGCCAATAGAAACACATCACTTTACCAGTATCTGTAGTGGGGTCATGTTTTGCTATAGTGGACTTAGTGGCAGCTTTGACTCCAGATGGTCGCCTCAGAGTTCTTAGACCTGAACTTGGAGGATCATTACTGGAAAATAAGCATTTAAATTATAATTGTATAACCAGCTTGGCCAAAAATGGAAACACCTAAGAACAAAAAAATAAGTGATTGTACTTGATCTTTAAAATGCCACTACAAACTAATTTATTTCTACATCTGTAATTCTTGCTATTATTATTATCATATATATTATATCTTATTGCCCAATATTTTGTTGTTTGGCTGCTGCACAGCTAGTTATAGTGAATCCAAAAAGTCATTTTGAGCTCTTCTAAACCATTACGCCTCAGACTGTATCATTTTCAATAGAACTGTCATATTTCATGTACATTGTCCCGGGTTTTCTACATTTCTCCTAAGTTCCTCTCTCTCCTCCAACACAGATGACTCCCATTGTGTCTATATTTAAATTACCTGCACACTGAGCGATAAGAGCTTGATGAGAATTTGCCTCACAATTCATTTGCAATTCTTTCTTCTCGATTTCACCAGTGCATTCATGAAATAATCACTGTCATATTTATAGTGCAGAGTCATATTCCATAATACAATGCTGGCTTTGTTTTCATCTCTGCACTTAGCGAGGCAGGAGGTTGGGGAGATAAATTACCGTGGCAACCCAAGTTTCTCTCTAAGTGCTCTAAATGACATACAAGTTGCGGCCTGTAATGACTTTTTTATTTGCTACGGCATAAGCACATTCTGGGTTCATTAGCGAGATTATCCGCCTGTCCTCTCGAGAAGCCGCCTCCAATGTGATCCGGGGTCCCAACTTTTTTCTTCACTTAAACACTGAAGAAAAAGTAATTACATGCCACTTGCATATCCTATTGTTTGACTTAATTTGGATTTACAAAAATATTGCTTAATTTTGTAAATAAATAGCTAAAAGGAAATAATGTAAAAAGTATGGAAATTTTTGCATATTAACAAGCCCTTCCCTCCATATGTAGGCATGGGACAAACTAAAAACTAACACTGACTTGTAACTCTCTGGTTATTTGTAAATACCAAAATGAGAAATACTGAATTCTTGGATAGATAAAGAGCATACAAAATCAAAAGGAAAATCGTTAATCTTACTTTTCAGAGTCTTGTCCTGTATCTTCATTAGATGCTTGTGGTCTCGTGGGCTCTGGGGCTGCTGGAACAATAAAAATACATTTAGCAAGTAGAAAAACAAGCCCTCCACCAATGCAATTTGGACTGTAACTAACAATTATTTTTCTAGTCAATTAATTAGTCATTAGATCACAAAAGGGACAAAAACAAAGATGATTCATTTGTGATATTCTACTATTTCCTTCCCGTATACACTCACAAATTAGTAATCTTCATTGCTAATTATTAAAAACTGGACAAAGTTGGCAGAGACTCTTATTGCCCTTATTAGCAGATATGTCACAATAATACATGTACACAGAGAGATAAAATTGATTCATTTCTATACGTGGAGGGCCTATTCTAAATTAACAATTATATTTCTATATTACACTAATCTCAAATGTTTCTCACCGTTTGCCTCTCCATTTTGTTCCGTGTCATTTTCTGGACCGTTCTCTTTCTCATGGAGCACCTCTGACACCAAGGCCATCAACTTCTCCAGCCTCACCAGCTCCTTCTGCATTTCCACCTTTTGCTGCAAGAAGAAAAAGATTAACATAAAAATAATTACAGGTTAGTCTTTGATGCATTTTATTAGCAGAACGTATAGGAGAGCTGAACATTTCCAAAGCTAAACAAGGACGCTCAGAGCAGGTCTGTACTGGCATTATTCCAAGTAATAATGATCAAGTCGGGGAAAATGGTTGAAATGAGACAGAAACTGTATAGAGAAACTGTAGAAATGGTCCAGTGAAAAATACACATAAATACAGCCTTGTTGAAATAGGGTTATTAGATGTTTTTCTACTAGGAACCAATTTCACACCTAATCATTATTTCTCAAAATAATCATAGAAAGCTTTAAGGCAATCATTTTAACAATTTAAGGTAGAAAAATCTTTTTGCAAATGTAACCTGTTTTTTTCAAAACACATTTCTAAAATTTTAACATCAAATCTAAAATTGTTCTGAGCTTCCTATTTTTCCATCAAAAACAGAAAGTCTTTGTGCTTTACTTGTACTTGTATCACAATTTTAGTATGAATGAACTAGAGAAATATGTTTCGGCAGTTGCATTCATTTAAAATAGAAATACAGTTTTATTTTTGGTATTTCCCTGTACAAATGAGTGTAATTTGGAGCTCAGTCTGAACCCTGGGGCGTGAAACCTCCCAGTCAAATAAGGAGAGATAAAAAGCAGAAGAGCCCTAAGATGAACGAGGGAGCAAACAGAAATCATCTCCACAGCCGCGCCTTCTCGAACGTAAATGAAATGCAATTTAGAAAAGCTGCTGAGGGCCACATTTTTCACAGAGAGGCGCAGTCTGTCATCCAGCAGCTGACAGCTCAGTCTAAGGGGAATGAGGCAGCTGCCCTCTACAGGTAAGTGGGAGAAGTGCATCAACAAAAGAGACTATGAAAAACAGCACATGGTCTAGAAAAGTATATTTTCTAAAATACATTTTTTTCCATGGATAGTTATGTTGACACATGGATTTAATTTCATCAGTTTTTTTTTGTTTTGTTACTTCCCTCACCCCAATGAGCTGGGTCTTAACAATCAGATATCGAATATCGAATGCTTGTTATCAATTGATCTATTGAGTTTTCCTTGATGAGAAATTGAGTCAACATCAGATTTACAATATAGCATTGGCTGTAGTAGTATTGTTTATTTCAATTTACAGGTCCCACTCAAGAAGTAGACCTTTTTAAATAAAGGACTAATAACAGTGCATTTTCTACCCCTATTTCAAAGTCCAACTTTGCAAACATAAGAAATCTAGAAACCAACTGAATACAAAGACCAGTATGGGACAGTTCAATATTTTCTATATTTACCTGTGTAACTAGAACTTCACTTGACAACTGTGACATCTCCACTGAGATACTTGCATTATTCACTGGAACGCCACTTGCTACAGGCAGAAATTTAAACAAAATTTAATGTTAAAATATTTTTAATCAATGGAACATATACAATTTTTTAGATACTTACATTCTTCTGGTGTGCCGAACAAGTCAACAGATGCCTGACTTGAGTTTACATAGTCTGGGCTGGGACATGGTGGTGGCCGAATCACTTGGTCTCTCTCAACTGTTAAACCTTCATTTATTTCAATGGAGGCTACATTTTCCTGTTGACTTTTATCCCGGCTACTACTTGAATTGCATTTTAGAATTTGGGCTAGACTTGGCAATTCCTCTTTTGATCCACTGCTGTCTAGCTCAGGTGAAGACTCCAGTCTCCGGCTTCTTCTCCTCCTCGGGTTGTTTTGTATGGAGGACTGGGTGCTGCTGCTTCCGTGACTCTGTGCTAGCTTCTCATTCAAGAAAGGTCGTGTTAAAAGGCCATCAGGGGTTAAGGAATAATCAGTATTTAATAAATGTTGTGACTTGTTGCCGGGGGACAGATTTTTAGTTGTTGATGGATCCAACAAGGAAACACTGTTGTCTTCAGATTTGGAATGTAGACTCTCTGAGATGTGAGTGCATTTTAAAGGTCTGTTTGTAGATTGCTTCTTGGGCCCTACACTGTCAGACAATTTTCCAGCTGTAAAATGAAGCCCGGAGTCAGCTATATGAGGGATGACGGACAGATGATAACTTGGTGTTTCCAGTTTTGAAACTTTATTTGGAGTAAGACTGGAAGAACTATTAGAGCAGTTATTGGAAATAGGGTTACTGGGCATGTCAGATCCGTCTTGTGCTTCGTTTTGTGCATGTGTAGGAGATGGTGGTATCACATCACTAAACAGCGAATTGGAATGGTTGAGGGAAGCATATTGGATAGGCGTCTCTTCAATTACTACGGCCTGATTTCTCAAAATAAAATCACCATCTTCAGGTTTTTGTGCATCTCTCTCGTCCAAGCTACAACTTCTTTTAACATTTGGTGCTTCCAGATGAAATGATTTCCTTTTTGTGGCTTTAAAACTCCTAAGAAGTTGTTCGGTGTCTATCTCACTGTCACTCTTGTCCTCCTCCATTTGCTCTTCGATTTCATCATCGCATCCCATTGACTCCAACTGAACATTCTTTGGATCAGTTTGAATGTCACTTTCCTGAACAGTATTGATGTCTTCGCCTGATGTTTTAGGACAATCTGGTGCATCAGGTTCACAACAAGCATCTTCAGTCAGTATTTCAACATTTGGGACTTCTTGAAGAGGTTGCGTTGGTTTCAAAATGTTTGGGCTCTCATAAGACCCAATTTTTTCTATTCCTCCCAAATCATCTGCATAAATACAACCATTTGTATTTGCACATTGAGGAGACGTATTATTCTTTGCCAATACAACCTGAACCTCCTCAGAAGTTTTTCCTTGGTAAGAGTTGGTACCCTTCAAGTGACTTTTCTTTTTACTTACTCTAATCTCCTCCACAAAGTTTTGAAGTCTCCTGCTCCTCCTAGTGCTTTTTACAACAGAGACCTCTTGTTCCTCACTGCTTGGATAATTCTCAATATGAACATGAATTTGATCTGATTCCAGCTTAGACTTTGGTTCTTCCATCAGAGCAGTCTCACCTTTTTGAACTTCAACTAAATCAAGAGGTTTTGTGACTCGACCAGACTTGACTTTGGATGACTTCAAGTGCCTTCCTTTTTTCTTATCCGTTTTCTTCTGCTCCCCATTTTCTGGCTCCATTTTTGCCTGTTCTTGTAGATCAATGTCAACTTGCTTTAATTCATTACACATCTTTTTCCGAGAATTTCCTCTCCTCTTATGGCTTCCAGTTTTACGCAAAGGAGAATCTTCTTTTTCTTTACATTCATTCCTGACATTGTGCAACTCATCCAACTCTTGCTGTGGTTGTTTGTCACTATATGATTCATTATGGACTTCTTTATCCAAGGGTACAACCACTTTGAAAAACTCACTGTTATCATCTACAAGGTTTCTAAGATCAGGCTCCTTTTCTGTGTCACTTTTGTTTATTGCTTCATCCTCTTGTTGATCCATTGCATCATTTGAGTTGAGGTGAGTTAAAATATCAGGAGGTGGGGAGATTTCTTTGCCATTTCTTTTCTTCCCTCTTTTGTAGACTGCACCAAATACCTGATCCTCTAGGGCTTTTGTCACTCCCTCCTTCTCATTCAAAAAGCTCTCATAGTTATGTTGCTTGAGATCTATTGTTGAAGAAGATGAAAAACTATCGGAGTCATCTAAATATTGTGCGTCCTTGTCTAGCTTGTCCAACTCAATGTCCTCCTTATTCGGGACATTCATAAGCCATTCTCTCACTTTTTCCACACTTTTCCTCTGCCTCCGCTTAAGTATCTTATCTGGCCCAGAATCTTTTTTGTGCTTTTTTCTAGACTTTTTAGAAGGCAGCTCACTATCATCATGTTCTTCCTCATCATCTTTGTTGTTTTCAGCATTCTCTTCCTCAAGTATCAACGGTGGCAGATCAGAGCATTTTATAAGGACTCTAGTTTTGTGTGTGGGTTGGGCATTTTCACTAGCTTGGTTTTCTATTGCTATTAACTCAAGGATGTCTGGGGTGACATATTTTTTCTCTGGTGTTGCAGGTGGTTCCCCAAGTCCACTATCCAGCCCTTCATTTTCTGTTGTCAATGGGCTTGTGTCTTCAAGTCCCATGAGTCTGGCAAATCCATTTTGAGCTAAAAGAAAAACAACATTACATTAAACTGTACAGTGATGCTTGGATTATCGGATATTGCCCTTTTCCTTTACACAAGTTAAAATTGTACCTTTTATTGTTGAGGATTGTGATTTTGGGGCATCCTCGCTGCAAGGTTTTTCCAAATTTTCAAGTTCCACAAGATCCTCATTTGTCCTAGTATTTTTCTGTACAACCACATCTGTAACACTGAAAAGAGTAAACAATTTAGATGTGAGCAACAGCTCAGAATAATATTATATTTGAGAGTTTAATTTCTTACACTGCTGGATGTTTGGGAAGCATCTGTCCTGTAAAATCTGAAAAGCAAATCTAAATTAGGTCTGGAAAGCACAAACAACAACATATAAACTGTATACACATGCGGACTTACAGTTACTCCCAGTATCATGTTCATATGCCTGTATCATGTCCTGCAAACCTGCAACAAGTTTTTTGAAACCTGGGCTCTCTTGCAAGCTCCTAAAGTGCAATGAAGATGTTACAATTTTATATTAAATCGTGGATTACAGTATTGATGTAGTAGCATTCATTGTTTTTACCTTCTGGTTACTCTGGCTTTGCACACAGGACAACTTGCCCTGTTTTGCTTTGAGTTGTCCAAAAGTTTCATCATACAAAATCTAACAAACAAAAGAATGGCGGTCAGTTGCAATATAAAAATATAAATGACTATTCTAAATATATTTATTCTTACTTGCAGAACTGATGGTCACATTTTGTAGATACAGGAGCTGTCATTAATTCTAGACTATTTTTAAATCAAGAAAAATAAGAAAGAGAAACTTTAAAAGACTGTATACTTTAGTAGAAATTGTTAAAAAATATGTCAGTCTCACCATATAGGACACTGCAAAGTTTCCCAAAGAACAGAAATTCCTTTCTTGACATCTGCTGCCTTTGGGCTATCTTGTGTTTTCATTTTAAAACTATAAAATACATGATATATAGTAGTTATTGTAGAATATAAAATAAAGTTCAAAGCGTTATAAAACTGTAAAAGAGAAACGAGGACCACAACAGAAATGTAGCTCAAACCATTTCAACAAAACGTGCTCAAGTGTTTATAAGAAATGGCACCGCCCCCTAAGATGAGGGGAAATGGCTTTGAAGAAAAATGGTGGTGCAATCTGCGAACAGCTAAGGTCTATCAAGAAAATATAGAAACGGTATTAAAAACATATATCGTCTTACAACCAGCATGTTATTGTTGACTTTTTAAAATCTTACTACTTTATAATTACTTTTCATTGTTGACAACTAACCTCTCGTCGACCCTCATGTTGAGTAACGTTGCTTAGGTTTGCCCCTTTAAGAATAAAATTGACGAAAATACAACGCGACAAATGCACACAATACACGACACGTTTCTTTTATATAAAAACACCACTGGCTGACAATTTGTAAACGCATGTATCAATGTTTACCTTGTATTTTTGTATTTTCAGAGTCTTTCGTGCTGCATCCACCCGCTTCAGTTTTCCCGCAACTACGGTCTTCTTCTCGCGAGGTGGAGGCGTCCCAACCAGTCGGGCGCCACGTAGCGGAAGGGAATACAAAATAAAACAGGCAAATGCTTCTCTATTATGCACCTATGCACGTTGTTATGAACCTTTTTTCGAGTAGTCGTTTGTATAATACCAACATTTCAAATAAGAATATGTAAAGGGACTTAAAAGTTTAAGTCGATAAATGTGAATGACAAGCCACGTGACTTTTATTTTAGTTTGACGTCAGAGAGAACGTAAACAAAAATACGGAAGTAAAACGGAAACGCGAGATCCAATCAAGTCACGTTAAAAACAACAAAATTCAGATGTTTTTGGTGATAAAAATCTAAATAATCGCATGCAAAACTCCTTAATCTTTGAGATTTAAAAGGAATCGGTGAGTAGCAGCACAGAAGTATTATTGTACAAGTAATGATAGGCAGTTAGCTAGCCTTTTAGCCGATTAGCATTCAATTTTATCAAGCAACGCACAGATGTCACTAAATTAACTACAATCTCAAGTCCGTATTTTTTCAACATATTCTTTTGAAGGTGTGGGATGGAGGGCTCAAAGTCTTCGAGCACGACAATGCAGGTTAGCTTCGTTTGTCAGCGCTGCTGCCAGCCACTGAAACTGGACACGTCCTTCAATGTCTTGGATCGGGTCACTATTCAAGAATTAATTGGTATGTATTAAAAGTTGGGCATATTATCGTTTGCGCATGTTATCGTCTTACAATGTTTTCCATGCATATTTCCTTTATAGCTCCTTTAGTTACTGTGACCCCGAGCAAACAGCAAGAGAGCAGTGAAGGGGAGACAGCACCAGAGGTTTGCTAATTATAAAATGCCCATTTAACGGCTTGGTGGCTTTTCCCTGTATCTTACTTACGTGATTATATACAAGTACAAAAGGAAATTGTAGTTAAACAAGTGTGTGTTTGTTACCAGGAGACCTTTGTAGAGAACAAACAAGATGGTGTCTCTAGAAAATACATCCCCCCTGCACGGTGAGCAGTTAACTCCTTTGTTACCCTTGGGTGTCGTAATTTTGTATTTACAACCTCAATTTTTTTATATGTTATAGCATGATGTCCACAGAGAGTGCCAACAGCTTCACTCTGATTGGAGACGCTTCTGATGGGGGAACCATGGAAAATCTAAGTCGCCGACTTAAAGTACTTTTATATAATTTTTAAAATATTGTTTACAGTGTTAAATTTTAACATGATACTGGACTCGTGATGAACAGGTGACGGGTGATTTGTTTGACATCATGTCTGGTCAGACAGACGTAGACCATCCATTGTGTGAAGAATGTACAGACACCTTATTGGACCACCTTGACACGCAGCTTAATATCACAGAGAATGAATGCCAAAATTATAAGTAAGTAGATTAAGTAGAATCATAGAAACATTCATAACATTATACTATACAAGTAATGACCTTAACTGTGAAAACAGGCAGTGTCTGGAGCTGCTGTCACAGCTGGAGGTAGAACAGGAGGAAACACTGTTGGCAGAGTTACAGCAACTGAAGGAGGAAGAGGATTCTCTGATACAGGAGCTAGAGGCAGTAGAGGAGCAAAGAGCCGCAGTGGCACAAGATTTGGCTCAGAGCAGGATCCAGTCTCAGCAGCTGGACACAGAGGAGCTGCAGTGAGTACACACCGGAGGGTGCATATAAACAGACACATAATGTTCAGTCTTATTTACTATAACTGTCTTCGTCAAGGTACCAAAAAGAGTACAGCGAGTTTAAGAGACAACAACTGGAGCTTGACGATGAATTAAAAAGTGTTGACAATCAGATGCGATATTGCCAAATACAACTAGATCGTCTGAAAAAGACCAACGTCTTCAATGCTACCTTTCACATATGGTAAACGGCTACAAATAATGTATTATATTTTACAGAGCTAAAAAGGATTTCATTATTTTACTGTTATAGCATAGACTGTGTGTTATAGTAATTATGTATGGGCTATAGATAGTAAATTTTAGTAATTGTCAGAAGATATCAGTGTTTTCTTTTTGTATATAGGCACAGTGGTCAGTTTGGTACAATCAATAATTTTCGCCTGGGTAGACTTCCCAGTGTCCCTGTGGAGTGGAATGAGATCAACGCAGCCTGGGGGCAGACAGTGTTGCTGCTGCACGCTTTGGCAAACAAAATGGGGTTACGCTTTCAGAGGTGCATATTTCTATACTCTGCAGTTAGTAACACAATTTCATGTATTCAGATATCACAATATTTAAATGTTTACTTATATTTTATGCAAATATATTCCACTAGATATCGTCTTGTGCCCTATGGAAACCATTCATACCTAGAGTCCCTAACGGATAAGTCAAAGGTAATACTGAATTAAACATTTAATTCTGTCACTAATAAACCATAGTCCTAAATGGTATTTCTGGTGTTACAGGAACTTCCATTGTACTGTTCGGGTGGCCTAAGGTTTTTCTGGGACAACAAGTTTGACCATGCAATGGTGGCCTTTTTGGATTGTGTGCAGCAATTTAAAGAGGAGGTTGAGAAAGGAGACACTGGTTTCTGCCTCCCATACAGGTTAGTTTTCACAGATGTCATTACAATCATATTTGTTTATAATTAATAGTATTTGCAGCACTTCATATTTACATTGCTCCATAGTTTACAGTACACAACCTATTTCCAGTCAGAGCTTTGTCTTGCAATAAATGATATGGCAAACTGCATATGCCTAGTTTCTTTTATAATGACCAATTATTATACTGTAAAAGAAATTTAATTGCTTGAGAAAATTATTATAAATGAATAACCCTCAGTTTACAACACTCCCGGGGGCTTAATGATCTCTCTGTAGTACCAAGTGCTGTATCCTATTCTAATACTCAAATGCTATTAAATTTAATGAACGTAATTAAGATCCACATGAGAAACACATCCTTCAAGCCCAGTGTGTTAATCGTCTGCAATGTTATTAACCACAGGGTGAAAATCCCAATTTAAATCCTCTTTCATCTCCCTATTTACTGTGTTAAACTAAAGGGGACACCCATTATAACAAAAACTGAATTATCTTTGATGTATGATTTGTGATGTATGATTCATGATGATGTATTGTATGTATTTTTTTTTTCTTGCAGAATGGATGTGGACAAAGGAAAGATTGAAGACACAGGAGGCAGTGGAGGCTCTTACTCGATCAAGACTCAGTTTAACTCAGAGGAACAGTGGACGAAGGCACTCAAGTTTATGCTCACGAATCTAAAGTGGGGCCTGGCTTGGGTCACCTCACAGTTTTACAATCGATAAAGACATTAATTTTCACCTCTCTGTATATCTGTATATTCATTTTATAATTTGTTTCAATTTAAATGAAGTGAATTGTATGGCACATTTAAAAATAATCTATCAAGTTTAGAGGAGACTACATGAAACGCTGTATTTAAAAAAACAAACAAAACTGAATTCACATCTGAAAATGTAATCTCTAAACGTAATGGTTAAAAGAACAATGACTAGCAGGTCAATGTGTCACCTTCCAACAATTTCTAGTATATCAGTATTTAAATGCTATTGCAAAACTCTTAAACCATTTTTTGTTTTGTTAGACTTATGCATTTTGCAGTTATGTAAATATGCTGATATCAATTCAAACATATTTAATAAAGGGTTTGTTATTCAAAGAAAGCCTATGACGCTGAATACAAAATGACACAATATTTATTTTAATGATTTCATTATTATAATCTTAGCTCTCATTACAACACTCATTCTCTAGCCCCAAAACATTCCAGGGGGAAAATCTCATGAAAAAATATGGGCTTAATTGAAATTGGAATAACTTCCAGTTATTCAGGAAAATATTAAAAATAGTTCAAAACCTGTAAATCTTTCACAGTCAGTCCTCCTCTTCCCCAGTTCATTTATGATCTTCATGTGGTGCCATGTAAACAAGGCAGGCCGAGCCTTGAACTTTGGTCATCAGTCATTATCACTGCAGGACCCCTTCTTTACAGCCCCAAGGTCAACCAATACAGAATACATGTATGAAGCGGGATGGGACAAAGTGTCAGTAATGCTTGAACCTTCATGGAGGCAGAAAATCTTTCAGCTGTGCAATATTTAGGGTGCTTTTTCTATTTATTGTGAAAGAAAAGGTCCTTATATGGACCACATTATGTCAGTGCATGCATGTGGGCATAACTGGGTTATACTGAGCCCACAGCCAAAGACTCCCTTAAATTAACCGCTGAAGCAGCCTTCTCTTTTAACGTGTGATCCACATCATCCATAACTTACACACAACCATCTCCAACTGTAAATTTCAAGATTTAAGGAGATTCTGCACAAAGCATCTTATTCAGTTTCAAACATACTTCGTCTGTCAGAGGCACTGCTGCTGTAACAGCTGGAGGTGGAGGGGAGGGGGGCTGCTGGGGGTGTACTATTGCCCAATGTCCGTCTGATATGAGGCATTAGAAAGGGGTCACTTGCTAACTGTAGAACATCTACTCTATCCTCTTTGTGATAAGCCAGGCATCGACGGATAAAAGCCTAGAACAAAGGAAATAAACAGTTAAGAACCAGCAACAGGACTCCTAATAGACATAGTAGAATAATCAATATTGCCAATGATATTGATTATCAATATGACGCCATAAAAATCTTTTTTATAATAGCTTTACTATAGATAGATAATTTGCAGACATTCATAACATTTTTACCAACACCATGCCAGAGATCTCATCTCACCTTTGCTTCAGTGGTGACAGCAGGCTTTGGCGGAAAGTGAACCTCAGTAGCTTTTAGAATAGTGTTTTCTTGAAGAATATCTTGTTGTGACAGATTATGACCAAATGGCTGAAAAAGAACATGTAGTGAATTTACTGCTTACTGCTTTAACCTCAAAATCAAAAATGTTATAAATGAGTAATTACCTTGCGTCCATATAAAGTCTGGTAAAAGATGACTCCTACTGACCAAACATCTACTTTGTTGGAAATTTTGGGGGGCTCCTTCCCCATCACGAAACACTCAGGGGGCAGGTACCTGGAGGCAGACAATGGTGTTCTTCCTATTAATACAAGTAATTTTATGCTATTTTATAAATGCAGTGTGGTTTGTACCAGTAGGTTCCTGCTCCCTGTGACGTCAGGTCCATGCCATCTGCAGAGCTATAGCTATCATCATCCATGATCTTGGACAGGCCAAAGTCGGTGATTTTTATCTCTCCGCAAGCTGTGCCATTCACCAACAGGATGTTTCCTAGCATAACATCAAAGACACAACATTGAGCATGTAATTCTTCCATATGAAACATTACATGTTAGAATCTGCCAGTACCAGGTTTGAGGTCATAATGAATGATAGGGGGCCGTATCTGGTTGAGGTACTTGAGGGCATTTACAATCTGCATTACGATTGAACGGCCCTCCTTCTCCGTCATCAGCTTATTTTGCTTCAAGTAAAAATCCAGATCGTTGCCTTCGCAGTACTCCAACACTGTGCAAAATCTAAAGAAGACGATAAAATGGATAAAATTTAAATTACTGGCTTAAACTATTGCTACTACATGAAAGGCACTTACGAGTCTGTGTCAAGTGAAAAGTAGTCGTAGAGTTTGACTATTCTTGGATGGTCAAGGTCTTTGTGAATTCTATATTCCCTGTAGGCATGCCTGAAATGAAATAGCATGAAATGTGTTTTAGAGCTCATGGTTCAAAAGATTACATGGTTTAAACAAGAACAATATCAACATTCAAACCTGTGATAGTTTTCCTTCTTCTCCTCTCTCCAGTTCTTGTTGAGCTGGTGAATTTTAATAGCTACATATCTTTGTTCCGTTAAATCAAATGCCTGAAATAAAAAAAAAAAGATCAGCTTTGTACTACATGCATTTATTAGAACTAAAATAAGCTAATAAAATGTCTACATACCTTATAAACTTCACTAAAACCTCCTCTTCCAAGTAAATGCAACAGTAGATACCTGTCATTCAATGTTGGATGGTCTTTGAATCTAAACACAGATTCATGCATGTCATTGTATTAACTAAGTACAGAGATTTAGATTGTAATAATTACGTTACATACTGCGAGTTGTCCTCATTATGGATCCTCTTTAGTTCTCGAATGTGTAGGTTCCTCACTCGCTCCAACTGCTCCAGTTCTGACTGGACCTCTGCCTCTTCCTACAAAAATAATATACAACAAGAATTATCATCATTACATTGGGATTACAAGTTTGTAATAAGGGGTAAACTTGTACCTTTTTTAGATGACCGATTCGAAGCTTAAATATTTCTTCTTGCTCATGATATTCTGCAACTGACAGCCTGTGTGGGCAAAACAGTATATATCCATATATCCATATGTAAAAATGTGATAATTCAACTGAAAAATACTTATTATACTTGGTGCTAGTATGTGCTATGCAACTTTTTTGAAGAAGGCCCGAGCACCTGCTTGTGTCCATGGAGAGGTTACTGCTTTGCCTGGAACATTCCACAGTACTGCATTTACCTTATCCATCTAGCATTTATTGAATTGCAGCTGCTTTAATTGCAAAAAAATGTTTACCTCCATGAAGATAGATATGTATAATGCCATTCTGTGGAACATTCTAGCCAAACATCTCCATGGAGACAAGCAGGTGGGCGACCCTCCAAGTTACATAGTGCACCACTGAACCTTTAGTTCTTATGAAAATCTTACGCTTCACTCTCCTGGCCGTTGCTCCTGCTCTTTCGTTTGCTTTGTTCAATGTTGGGTGACGGTGATTGAGAAACGGAGGGTGGTTTTCTCTTCCCAAGCAACTTCCTCTGCCTTTCAATATCCTCCCGCTGTGAAGTGATCCGCTCTTGCTGCCTAAATGAAATATACACTTGAGTTTGCAGGTTGCAATACACAGGTTATCCAGACAGTTGTATTAGCAAACGGACTTGATGAGATTCTGAAAAGCGTAACCATCTGTCCACTGCTCGGTGAAGGAGGCCCCGTGACGCACTGTGGTGAAATGACCCAAGCGGAGACGATCCTGCATGCTCTTATCCCTGCACGCTTTCTTCTCCTGTTTTGACTAAGAAACAAAAATATATAGATCGATAAACAACTAGAAATCAACAATTGTATATTAAAAAACACTTACCTTTTCAATCAGAAGTTTCTTACTCATAGTGACACACTTGTTAAGACGTTCCTTGTAGCGCTCCAAGATTTTCTGCTGCTCATCAATCTGCCGTCTCAAATCACAGTTTGCCTAAGAATCAAATCAAACTTTATAATACTTTCTTAATTAATATGAATACAACTTTAAGTGCTTAAAAATCCAAATCTAACCCTCAGCAGATCATCTATTCTCCCCTCCTTTTTCTCCAGGTCAGAGTTTTTGTCGTTCTCCAGAGCTGTGAGCTTCAGCAGGGTCAGTTCAGACTACAAAACAAGAACACACTAATAAATAATAATAAGAATAATACTATTGAGTTTTGTTATGATTTGTATCCATACTATATCATTAGTAGCACAACCAACAAGCCAAATGCAAGTTATTCATCACAAAGTAACAAGATATTATTAGTTGTATTTTATTACACATTCTAAAAACTATTGAAAAACTAATTTAAAATATGAACGTAAAACCAAAAAAAAAAAAAAAAGAAACAGCAAAAATATGAAACTTTCTCAAATCTTTGAAGGAGAATTCATCACAGTGAAGGCTTTCTCCTGGAATTGTGACTCACCTGTATGGCTTTATGAGAGCAGGAACTTGGCCGCAGAGTTTTTACAGAGCTGCAGGAAGAGGAGTCAGTGAAGACAGAGCCAGTTGATGAAGGGCTGCCATGTTGAAACTATGACATAAAAATATAGTTACAGTTACAATATAAAACTGCACCATTTTACATATTACATCATTCTGAGAGAGCAAAAACTTAAAGCAGTGACACAAATGGATGGTGGTGCTCACCAGAAGATTAGACAGAGAGTGTTGTGAAGAGGAGCGCACCAGAGGTGGGACGCCCCGGGCAGGACTAGTGCCAGAGCCACTGCTGCCGGCAAACTGGCCACAGGGCAAAGCATGGAAACAAGGTGGAGCCAAAGGAGAAATATTATTGAGAAAAAAAAAATATATAGGACAACAATCAGTTATGGGGTGAATTAGAAAGACAGCCTGAAAGTGATTGGAAACAGTAGTTGTTTTTAACTTTGGACTTACATCAAAATAGTCACTGACTTTCTGCCCCTTTCCATTTCCTAAAACACAAGATTGAACATAATCTTGAATATAAAGGATTAAGATTCCGATCATCTACCATTGAACTCAAAATTGTCCTTTTAATGTTGCTGAAAACTCACCGTGGTTGGTGGTGTCGTATATGTCCCCCTTTCTCTTTCTACCTCTCTGCCCACTGGTCTTTTTCTCTGGTGTCTGACACAGACAAATGTCATGAAATTTTCACATCACAAATTAAATTTTCCTATATATTTTTCATGATTAGTTACCTCCAGCTCCTTGTCACTGAGTGATCCTGCACTGCACAATGACTGGTTGGATGATTCACTGTTAACTGAATTCTAGGAAAACATGAGAAAAACAACATGTTTGAATCTTCTGACCCTGAATAATTATGAAGGACAACATCTAATTCAGTCTGTAAGGAAAAAGCCCTGTCAGATATTCGCTGTTCAGGGACATTTTTAAATCAAGTCATATTTCATCTTATGAGCCACGCAGAATACCATAAATAGAATAGATCCCAGATGTGTTTTTTTTACTCAACGTGAAGTGACCAATATAACAATACATTACAGAGGAGCAGGCTGCCGGAAGACTGATTGCTTTGTCAGAGGTTGCCATTTTCTCTCTGCGAACCCACTCACAGTCATATGGAGTTCAACAGCAGAGGGTTAGTCTGCGCTGTAAACTCGGCTGCAGTGGCATTTTAGTGTCACTAGTTGACATTGAAACAAAGAACTGCTGGCAAGCTCTTGTGACAGCCAAGACAGAGCTGGATTTAGATTTTGCCCAACGAAAATACCAACAGCCGTCAGTGAATCAGTGAACACTTCCGCAAGAAGGCAGTAATGAAGCTGGTTAGCATAACCCCTTGGATTGATTTGACTGACTGATTGATACTAAATAAAGACTATTTCAGAGCACAAACCTTGCCTACACCAGCTCCAGAAAATCGAGCTTCAAGCAGTTCTTGACGACGAGGGTCCAGGCCAATAGCCCCAGCATGTACTCCTTCCATCATGCCTAAAAGATCAATTGCAGAGCAAAAAAATTATTAATTAGAGTTATGTGACCATTACTGCCATGCCCACATTGAAGACATGATCAGCCAATGACAGTCTAGGAATAAACAGGACTATATTTTTGATATGCAAATTTAGACATGTAGAGCATCCTATGCACTTGCTATTTCAAAAGATGAATAAATATAATTGTGATGTCAGACAGTTACAAATCAATAAAATAGTTGTAACACGTGTACTCTGGATGTATCATTTTGAAAGGTTTAATGAAATCTAGCATTGATTTCAATCACAACAGCTCTTATCTCAAATCCCTTCACAAAGTGCATTTCTATACGATTCCCCCATATCTGTGATCAGGAGGTCATTGTTTACTCTAGACAGCAAGGTGCGGTCGATACCAAAGTCAGGCTAAATACAGTAGGTTAGCAAGAAAACACACAAAGGCTACTGTGCCCACAGACATCTTGCGAATCTATTTAATTAAAAGTGGCATGCACTGTGAGGATACTCTGCAAATATAAACACAAAAAGTTTCACAGAGTGCGTAGCATTGAAAACTGACAATTGGATTAGCATCACACGTAATGTTTTAACTAATGCTAAATTGTCAAGTAACGTTAGCTAACATTATGTGCATTAGAGGTGGTCTCACCTGAAGATCCTCCGCTGTTTTTTTCGCTGTTTCTCAGACTCGGCTCCGTCCATCCGGCGACATCTGAGCCACTAGCTATCAACAGTTCTACACACCTTATAGAAATCCCGTTCAACTTCAAAGACCCATTTAAGACTATTTTTAATTGATGGAAGACATGAGTTAGCTTAGCCGATGCTAGCTCAGACGAGCGGTGCGCCTGGTGCGTGCTGGTGTCATCCGGACAGAGGCCCTGGTCCTCGGGGTTTCCTCGTCCGTCCTGGAGCCGCTGCACGGGCAGTCCTCAGCTGTCACCCTCTGAAGCCTCGACACAACTGTTACATGCTGCTAAAACACTCTTTTGCACCACCGAGGCTTCACGCACACAGGACGGATGCCATCTTCCTCGCACAGTCCATTCTCCAGCTGCTTTTCAGAGATCTTAACCCGGTGCGAGGCCGCAGGACTCCGGGGAGAGCTTTGACTGATGCCTCCTGGCGCTGTTTAATACATAATAAGACCACAAGGGCACAGCCAAGTGGAGACACCCTGAACTCTACCTGAGCTCTACCAAATGATGGCGAATCCCTTCATTATTTTGTGTTACACCGTGCAGCGCATAAGTTTAGCTACTTTATACTTATTATCTTTTTTTCTTTACACGATAAACTATTTTTTAAGTCAGAGAAAACTAACTGGATGAGTCTCTTGTCTTGAGAGAAATAGTTGGTTAATGCCCAGTATTGCCCATACATCATAAAAATGCTAACAGCAAATTGTCATGACCCATGTACTGTACACTGGAAGGCAAATTTCAATAATTCTATGGGCTAATCAAACTTGCAGCGTTTGTCCAGGAGATGGAGGCAATGGGCTGCTAGACAACCGTCACAAAATTAAGTACACCCCAAGCTTTTGCCAAAAGTTAATGAATGCATTGCTGTGATTTCTGCATGAAAATGAAAATCTGCGTATCTGCAAACCTCTATTTAACGAAGTGTAGGATGGGTCTTATAGGCTAAGTTTTGCAAGCAGTGTCAAAGGTTCTTATTTGCATGAACAACTGACTAAAATTGTTAGTTAAAATTGTTTTATATAGTTTTTACATTGTCAGCCTTAAATGGCCAGCTGTTGACAGTTCACAAAATATGTCCTCTTTAATTTCTACATATTTACACACAGCATTGTTATAATTAATGATCTTGTGACAGTAGAGGCCTGCACGTTTCAGTCTGTTCTTCAGTAGCATCAGTCTTTTCCTCTGTATGTGATATTGGTGAAGGTAGAAGTAGCGCCTTTGTAGAGAGGGTTGTGTCCCTGTAAATGTACAACAACAATATTATTAGTATTCAGATTATTATGAAGCAAAGGTATATAAACATCACAAATATATAAAAACATGACTTTATGAAGTTTATAAAATGCAACTACGGTGTTAATGTGCATCATGTGCAGCTTCCATTGTATTAAACAGTGGGTTTCTTGTGGTTTCAGCCTGATGGGATTTGGGTGTGTGTGGCCACTAAGTGCCTTATTACCAGTAAAAGCTAATTAGCGTCAGCTAATTTAAACCCAGCCCTTCCGTTGACTACCTTTATTCTGCTGACAGTAGCAGCATGCTGCAACAATAATAAAATACTCTTCAGGAAATTAAAGCAGGAGATGTGTGTGGCCTTATGGGGGCAATAAAGGCAATGATGGGTTTGATATAATCGGGATTAAAGTTATGATTAAGACTTAACTTGTTTCTTAACTTGTTTTCTTGTTTCACACTGCATTAGATACTTACTGTGTCCCATTTGGCCCGTGCACGCTCTTCTTCAAATTTGGCAAACTCCCTCCTGTCGTGAATAGTAACCAGCAGTTTCCAGATAAGCAGTGCAGCTAAGCCCAGGAACAAGATGGCCCCTGCCACTGACAATAGGACCACCAAAATGTCTGGGCCCTTGGGACAGTCTGGAGAGGGAGCGAGAGATTAAGGAGTGAGTACGCTGGACAGAGATAATCATAAATTCACTCCACAGGAAGTATGATTTATAGAGCTGTTTCCTCTTTATCTTTCCATTGCTCACACAAGTGGTGTTTCTGTTTTTAACATTTACCGCCATAATAAGTACATTATTGATGCTTCATTATGAACACAGAAACTCAGTGTTCAATACCAGTGAACAAGGAGGAGGATAGAATGAGTGGAAAAATGCAGCCCAATGCATCCAGGCCACAAGTCCCTCTTCCCTCCTGTGGTCTGGTTAAACAGGAATGTAATATGTTTCAGGGAGGCAGGACATGAGATGATTGGCAGCTCTTGTAGTGGACCATTGTAAACATCTAGCCTCAACAAACAGATGTTGCATATATGTCACAAACAATATTTTAAATAAACTGAAAACGAGTCTGTTTGTTTATTTGTTTGTGTATCAAATTATGCAAAGAACATCAATCTTTGGGATGAGCTGGGAAATGTGCCAAAAATGTACTAAAGCTATCTGCACTGATTTTGAGCATAGTGCTGTATCACTGCTCATTTGTTTATTGCAGCTCACCCTAATATAAAGATATCACCAAAAGAACATATCATTACAGGGATGAGCTCATGAGATTGTCATGATGAGATTGCCATGTTTCCAAATCAAATTTGAAAGGAGAAAGTAAAAATGAAAAAGTTCATTTTTTAATCTACATCCACCTCTAGACTAGAACAGTGTCGCAATTAATAAGACATCTGACTGAAATTAAGTCATCACAATATAGTGTGCATTATTGTCACTGAGAAACAGGTGAGGGGGCCAGCAGAGGGCAACAGAGGGCAGGTCTGCTGAGGTATTTAGAATAGTTCTTTAAAAATTTATATAATACCATATTATTACAAAATAGATGTGAGAAATTCATGGAAATAGCCACATGTTTTGATAAAGGAGCCGTGCTGAATGACTGTCAAAGATTCAGATTGCAGAACATTATAACATTTGATTTTGAGTTATAATATTTTATTTTATCCCATTTCAATATAATCATAAAAGTCGAAAACAGATGGTATACCAAAAGATTTACTTGTTTCCTTGTTTAAAACAGTTAAACTACTTTCTGTCTCCTAATTTCCAGAAGAAACCGCACATATAAGGGAGCTTTAGGTAACTGTATAGGGTAACTAGGGTGAGCTTTTACAACTAACATCAAAGCCTGACTCCTCTTAGTTTCCCCCATTTGAGCTGCGCTACTTCCTCTCACCTTGACATCAGTTAGTTTTACGGCAAATTTTATGTCCACCAACAGAGATGGGGTCCAAAACCAGAAAACAACTTTTTTTCAATACTGCAATTAAATTATGCTTTCGCTAACTTAAGTAACTTTTCACTACCACTTTTGTATAGGGGATATGTGGAGTCAGCATGTTCTTAAAGAAGCTGGGCAGCTATTTACAACCCTCTCTGACACAACGGGGCGTACCATGTTCAAGGCAAATTTTGGTGCACTTCTGTGTTATCCAGTTGTGTTTAAATTGAACACACACATTCATTAAAGACAGAGCCCTGGACAGACTTTTGCTGTGGGCAATTGTGTTCATTAAAACCACTTTTACCACCTTCTATGATTTCTTTTTGGATGAGAAACAAGAAGATGAAGGTTCTGTTAGAGGAAGTTGAGTGGAGAAGGAAAACCACGGAGGTTTTGTGAGCACAAATACAAAATGTACAAATTGATTAAGTAAAGCAGGGGTGTCAAACATACGGCCCAGGGGCCGGATCCATCCCTCCAAGACCTTTAATCTGGCCCTCGGCTGAGTTTCTACTGAAATATTTTAATTATAAAATTAATTATTACAAAATATAAATATATATTAAAATTGGTAATTTTCTGTGCTGCTTAGCATATCAGCGTCTCCAGCGCCTCTGTGTGTGGACGCCTCCCACCAGAGCAGCACAAATGAAGACTTGCTTCTTTCTAAACGCTCTTAAAGGACGATTGCTTTGACTGTTGACCGTGACACCATCATCAGCAAAAGTGGACGCCAAGTGCAAGATTTTTCAAGTAAAATGGACTTATTACTATTTGCATACAAGTTAATGTTAAACCATTGTGTTGAAATTGCATTTTTCTTAAAGTTTCAGGTTGTTCATAATATTATAATATTTTGTAAAAGAAAGAGTTCATCAATTAAAAAAGATTTCTGTAATATATTTGTGTTTCTCTGCACAAATATTTGAACTTATTACTATTTTTGGGGTGTGTGTGTGTGTGTATATATATATATATATATATATATATATATATATATATATATATATATATATATATATACACATACACATATATATATATATGGTGGTTGACATCGCAATACCAAGCGATGGTAATATCAGGAAAAAGGAACACGAGAAGCTAGAGAAATACCAGGGGCTCAAGGAAGAGCTGGAGAGAGCCTGGAAAGTAAAGGCATCAGTGGTGCCTGTGGTGATCGGAGCACTCGGGGCTGTAACCCCCAAACTGGAAGAGTGGCTACAACAGATACCGGGAAAAACAATGGACATCTCAGTCCAGAAAAGTGCAGTACTGGGAACAGCAAAGATACTGCGCAGAACTCTCAAGCTCCCAGGCCTCTGGTAGAGGACCCGAGCTGAATGAGGGTGAGAGAGACCTACCACCGTGGAAGGTGAGAAACAAATTTTTTTTTTTTTATGCCTTTTTTTTCCCGGCCCCTTTGGGATCAAAGTAGGTTGGCTACAGCCCCCGGACCAAGTATTAAAATATGGTTAACTGATTTTTTTGCAGAATTGCAACTGTTTAATGTTTAATGATAAGAAAAAATTTATAGCATTTTACTTACTTCTCTGACTTAAAAAAATCTTTTAACCATATTCTAAAAGTTTTCCCTTTTACCCACTTGAAGTAGTAGTTGAAAGTAGTATTTTCAATCAAAATCCATATTTCATCCAAAATATAAAATGATACTTCATCATGGGTGACTTAGAGTATATTATGCTTTTATCCAGACAAAAGCATAATATATCTTCTCTTAATGAGAGCATTTAATCTGCAACATATCAAGTTTTGTTAGTTACTTACCTGGCTCTTTAACAACAAACAAAATAGATTTTCCACTAGCGTCCTCATAGTACTGAAATCGCTGCACACAGTCATTCTCATCTTTATAGGAACAGTTCACAGCATTTGTATCATGAAGCACTGAGGACAGAACAACAGCAGGATCATTAACTAATAGCTGGACAAAACTAATTAAGTATTCTATGTAATATTTCTTTTACCTATCTCATCCACAAGTTGAATGTCATCTTTGCAGATTCGAGAGCATGAGTTATCCTCAAACAGCCGGCCCCTCTTAAAGTGCCTACACTCCACACACTCCCTGCAAAAGACCAATATACAGTAAACTCAATATCAATGGTGGAAAGAGTACTAACACACTTTACACAAGTTATATCACTAAAAAGATAGACAATCACAAGTACAAGTACTACTGCCAAACTGTATACTTAGCGTATAGGCTGTGCATAACAGATACTACTCAGTTGCACAGGTTACTTTTTTATTTTTTCAATTTCAGTTTCTTTTAAAGAAAACATTTCCCAAATTTTGTAGAAATTAGAGACTCATGAAAACTTGTCATATACACTTGTCCTTCTTGCTATTGAGTGTGTAAGCATAATTTCTCAAAATGTGTTATCCATTTGGCCCAGACATGGTAAAGTCAAAGCAATGTGCTGCTGTCTCTTATGATATGTTAAAAGCTGCAAGATAAAATAAAATAAAAACCTGAATTACAAAAAAAATAAAAAATCTACTCAAAAAAGTACAACTGCCCAAAAAATTTAATTATAATAACTTTCTACCCTGCCCAATACAAAACATCATTATCATAATATCAGTTAGGAAAGTAATGTAAAATATCTGATGAGCATTTATAAGTTATTGCTGTTTATTGTCCTATATATAATTACATAGGTGGACTCACTTTTTCATAGTGCAGGCATCGGGGCAGGTGGGGCACTTGTCACATGTTGCCCCATATGCTCCAGGCTGGGTGCACTCACATGCACCACACACACACTGGCCCCTCCCACTGCAGAGGAGGCCCACACTGGACATACAGGTGTCAGTGCGTCTGGAGCAGTTACAGTTTTCACCCTGCCAGTCCGGGTCACACTGGCAGAAGCCGCAGTTACATACACCGTGTCCTATGGAAAAGAAAAGATGGTTGTTATATACACAGAAAAGACACTCTACAGAAATTAGAGTGGAGAATGCCAAAGTATTTTAGAAAGAATACTCATCATATCAAGTGTATGAAAAGTTAAAAAAAATCATGGTGCATTGATAATTTCTCACTAAGGTATAAAGACTAAACTCATTGTTATCTCACAAATTGTAAACAAACATATCCGGTTCATAGACTGTATATATAAATGGACATAGCTAACCTGCTTGCCACCACATTCCAAATAGGAAGTGAGCATGGGAGTGTTTCTGGCTCCACTGAATCTTGCTCCAATTGACTTTAAATTGAAACACTGCCACCCTGCTCTCTGTAACTGCTGCAGTGAGCGTCGTCATTTTGGTCTTAAAATGTTTGTATTAACCCGCTCTACATGATCACGGTGTTTTTACTTTGTTATTTTGTCCATTAATAAATTCTATTCCTAATATGAAACTTGACTCTAAATTAGTTTCTATAACAGCTAGCCTCGTGAGCATTCTTTGACTGGAGCCCGAATGCTATGCTCCCTGAGTCCACTTCATTATACAGTTTATAATCCACTTACATGCCGGACTTGGTATATTTTGCCCCTGCATAACAGAAATATATAATGTGGAATATTCAATAACTGTAAACCTTTAAACTCTTGAGAACCTCATTCCGTATTTACTCATGTTTGCAGACTAACACATAAACCAATACAATTAACCTTATAAGAGAAAAGAACCTTTGGTATTTATAGTGTGTTTAGTTTTATTCAAGCTAATCCTTTAAAGGTCCTATATTACACAACATTGATTCCTGTGAGCTTGTTAGAATGTTGTTACCTCCTCAAAAACATTCCTGGTGTTTTGTTTCATTCACACATGTTTGAATAATCCTTTACTTTACATCTTCAAAGCTCAAAAATGTTCTGTTCCACCTTTTCATGTCATGTAGTGGTAGCTTTCAAGTTAACATCTTCTTTTGCCTTTTGTTCAGAAAACATTCCAGGGCTGAAATTATACAAATGATTCGAGTGCAAGTGTATGGAGTTTAAAAACACAGTGGAGCACTTCTTGTACTATCACTTCCTGAACTACCACATTACATGAGTGTTTTCTGTTTGAGACAGCTCAGCCTACATATGTAGGGTTTGTGTGTTAAACATGTGTGAACAGACAAAACACAACTCCAGGTATATTTGTGATGAGGAAACAACAGTATACCTTATATCAGAAAAAAATAGCATAATTTGAGCTCTTTAAAGAAAATGGGGTACATTTTACATTGCAGTAAATGAACAGAACATAAACATATAGCTACATGACCCTTTATGTCCTGTAAATTACTAGTTTGAATAACAAGTAATTAACTACAACTGAATGTGATACTTCCCCAGCCCAATCTGCAATAGGATGAGTACAATTCTTTTTAAACCTCTTAAAATTGGCTGTGCAGTTGAATTTAATGTTTGGTTATAAAAATAGTTAAGCTACCAGTATAAATTTCCAAAGAAAAGGAAGTAGAAGTGCACTCATGCTTGTGGGAGACTAAAATCATATTCCATTGTGTCTGTGGTGTCTGGGCAAGAGTTATTTTTGTGAACATGATTCTCCATTCCTTTAAGTACATTTGTTCCCACTAATATACAGTTATAATGAGTGACTGCGCTGGTGAATTAGCAAGAAATAGCTCCAAAGCTTTATTGTGGTCCATGGGTGCAAAACAATCCCCAGATAAACAATGACACAGGAAGCTAACAGAATGACGGATAACATTTTGTCATTACCACTTAACCACTAACTTTTAATCTAAGTTATAATGGGAGATGAACTGTGATAGTAACAATGAAAAGCAAACTGTTGTGAACACATACTTGGACTGAACATTTCCAGTCCCCCACTTTGAGCTTTTTTGGCCAAACATGAGGTTATTTTTGGGGCTATTACAGCACACGAGCCCATGAGTAAGCACAGAGGTATTTTCATGTTAATCTATGTTCTTTGGGGAATACAAGACATTTCTGTTTGACGGAAACACAGGGCTAAAGTGATATGTTACCCAGCCAGAGGAGAGGTCTGCAAGCAATTACACATGTGCAATTAGTTCTTTTAATTGCTAGATAAATTAGCTTAAGGAAGCAGACCTTGTGTAATATAGGCCTGCTTTTTGCTTTTTGTCTTGTTTTGTCTCTTTTAGTTTATATGGATAATAAGCAACACATAAATAACACATAAATAAATTATGATAATGTAGTATTCTTAAATGTGTAATTCAAGTACCTTTTTAACTTTAAAAGCTGTTACATACAGCTCTTTTTGACCCAAAGTTTCATCAGTGGATGTATTGTACTACTACTGTAGTTAGTCTCTGATGTGATATCACACCCAAGGCTACACAGCAGCTACACCACAATGAATAAATGGTCTACTGTCCTATTTTTGTCAAACACTGTGAGACAATTGTTCTCTCGAATCTAAAATAATCCACAAGTGAGGTTGGTCTGACACAAACATTTGAACCTGGGCTGTAAACGCACACACGCACCTCCAGCATGTGTTTATTATGAGAGTGGCCATGTCCTGCAGGAGGAGGAGACGTTATGATTCTTCCCAGATGGGTGGCACAGTCCGTGTGGAGCAGGGGACTGCCAACACACATTTGAACATCTCACAAAGACACACAAACAACAGTCACCCCATCTTAACACTTCACTATCAAAAATGTTTACTCTGATTCTTGTAATGATTTGTGTATAAACATAGTGCCTTTACAGAACTACCTGGACTACATCTGGGCAGCAAGCTACTCCAGTACAATTAAGAAGCGTTTGATTGACTCTTATATGATACGCTTGTTATTGTTAAGATGTGCCAATGTGACTTCAAATACATCTCATATGTTCTGCTTAACAGTGTCTCACCTGAGCAGAGTTCTCCTTTGTAGCGCAGACAGTTGAAGTCATCACATTCACAGAGCTTGCCCCACACTTTTCCAAAGTCATTGCTATGGCACACGCACTGGCCACAGACGCAGTCCCCCCGCCCGCTGCAGATGGCTGACTGAGGCCCAGAGGCAGCTGAGGGCCCACTGCAGCGGTCCTGGTCTGAGGGGTTATAGTCCCCCTCAGCGCACTCACAGTGGGGACCCAGGCGGCCCGGGTGGCACTGGCAGATGCCACACTCAAACGTGCCGTTGCCATAGTGGCATTTTGGGCTGTTGGGTTGGGCTTTGGCCTGACACTTGCAGTCGCACTCAAAGGTGACAGTGATGGACAGTGAGTCTTTGAAGCCCACAGGTTTGATAATAAAGGTCTTCTTCTTTTGTTTGGGGCACCCACGAGCTCGGGCCTCCACACTGAAAGAGACCTGCAAGACATGGCAATGTAAAACATAAGGATACATGTGAGCCAGGGAGTCCTGCCAAGGCACTATAGTTCATCCCAGGATTCAGAGCATTGTAGAACCAGAGGAAACTACCTTTTTTGTCCCTTTACTAATGTTGAAAATATCATTTAAATCTACCATGACATCTACCATTTGCAATAGAACAAATGACCCAATTTTGCTTTAATTAACCTTACATGATCCCACCAATGCTGGCAAAAGCACAAACTTCTAGTTGGGAAGAAATACAGATAGTATTTTATCAAATAAAAAACATGATTTCTTAAGCCATATAAAAATAACAAATTCCCATGAGACCGAATCCCTTTTCCCAAGCTTACCCAATTTTGCTTTCAGTCTGCACTTTATATCACTTTTCAGTAATTAAAGAACCTTTTGAAGAAATATTTACCACTTGTAACTATCACACTATGAAACAACATCAAGTTCAAAGTTACTACAGTGGGCTGTCCTCCATATGTACTCAACAACACAGTAATTGTTCATTCAGAGCACTGCATCCAAATCTGGTGAATGTCCAAAAGTGGGCAGTAACTCCATCTGGGGAGAGATCCATATATGGGAAAAACGCAAGAGGGAGCTGAGGCCAAGTAAAAAGAAAATATCAAGGCCAAAAAATGTCACCTGGAGTGAGGAGAAAATAAGGCACGAAGCCAAACAAGTTGTGATAAAAGAAATATGCAAGAGGAGGACGTTAATAACAAGAAACTGTTCAACAAAAATGTGAAGACAAATACATGTACACTTAGCAATGTTGTACCTTATCCAGCAATTGAAACATGAAGGCTGATTTATTCTTTTCAATGACAGACATAAATTTAATACTCTATATAAAGAACACTTGCTTTGCTGTTTGACTATGCACTGACTCAATAGACATATACAGATAAGGTATAACATTACTAGTAACAGTAACTGCCCAATATACAGTACAGTCCCCTATGAACCAGTTTTACCAGATATTAAAGTTATCTATCTGGTGGATCACAATTGTCTATTTTTAGCACTCTCGATTCCCTGGACCCCTCCTAATAGATAATACCGGAGCCAGTTTTAACAAAGTTATGACTTCAACATAATTTCATTTTTCTAAGCATCTGTTATACACAACTGACCGTATCTCCAATCTTGAGGCCAGAGCAGGACTTGAGACCTGGAATGACCTCTCCATTCAAACAGGTTGCATTGAAGGAAAGGGAGAGCTCCTCTGGGACACCTAAAAGCTCCAACTCCACTTTGGAGCGGATTTTCTGAACAAAGCACATTGAAATACAGACACATGACACAGAAGTATGCAAATTAATGATCAATGTTTTCAATTCATGTTTTATATTCATTTTATAGTCCGAGCACTATGTAACTTTTCTGGTGGGCGATCCTGCGTGTTTCCATGGAAATGACACTGCTTTGACTGGAGAGTTAGACAGTAGGGCATGAAATGAGAATTTACACACTGCACATTTTTTAGTTTTCCATGTCATATGCATTATTTCTTTGACTTGTGTTTTCATTCAGTTACAGGTACACTGCAGTGGTGGATGAAGCACACAATTTTGAAACTTAAGTAAAAGTGCTGTACATAGACCAGGCCAATGTAATACTCAAGTAAAAGCATCACATGGAAAAAGTATTAAAGTGCCAGTTTAAAAATTAACTTATATTTTAAATGAAGTTATTTGAGATCTAACAAAGCCCCAGATGTAGTGACTTTGCTAAAGATTTGTGCTGAATTTTCTTAGCTGTTTTTATTTATGTTTATTTGCATTTGCTCAAATTATGAACATGTAAAAAAAAAATTCTGTTAAAAATGTAGTGGAGTAGAAACTACAATTACCTCAATCTCAAATGTACTGAAGTAAAAATAAAATGTATCTACTTTAAAATACCTAGTACAGATACCTACAATTTGTACTTCAGTATAGTAGTATTTTTAGTTTGTATTTACCTTCCACCACAGTTAAATTGTAATAGTCATAAATACATTATGAGTTTGTCAATGTTACGTCTTTGGTTTTTGACTGTTGCTCCTATTGTGCTATTTACTACTCTTAAATCACCCATTGTCTCCACTTGTACTTTCAAAAATGCATGATACAATATAACAGTTATTCAGCTCTTAAATTGCCAAAATAAGCATGTTGATCCAGACGGTAGCTCTCCACAAATGGTTAGCATCACACTTCTGCCACGGGGGAATTTTCTTGTACAAAATTGGCCCAAACGCTCGACTGGCTCAGACATGATGGGTGTGTGTCAACAAGCAGCGTCACCCACTGAAACACTGTCTAGTCAAAGGTCTGTGTGTGGTTATGTGTAGCACTTACAGCATAGGCTTTTAATATGAGCTGGATCACATTGCCCGAGTCATTGGACAGTGTTCCTACAGTGGTGCCAGGAATCAGTTCACTGTAGTTCTGTAAGACAAAGAAGGAACATACTATTAAACACCATGAAGTGTTTTCACTGATATGTGATTCCTCTGATATTCCTCTGAGTTCTGCTCAATTAGCTTTTAATGTGATGGAATAAATGCATTTCTAAAAAAGGACAGAACAAAATGAAGATTGCTGAGAAAATATAGTTTAAATCAAGATAAAGTTATGCCTCATTTATTACTAAACCAGAACTATTCAGGATTACACTAGGGCCATACCAGGACTCAGTCTAGACCAAGACAAAATAATCAGAAGACTCCCTCTAGAAAAAACAGTTTAGAGAACAGAAGTAAGACACAGTTGCTTAAATGAACATTTTAGATGTTTTTGTTTTGTTTGTTTAGTATTTTCCCTGAGGGCCCAAATCTGCCTGAGTGGCTTCTTACTTCCGTTTTGGAAAAACTACATTCACAGTCTAATGAATATAGTATTGCATAATACTGTTTCCTCTTTCCATTTCTTCCAACACATGGTCCAAGATTTTTGGGTAAACCCAAAGAGGTTTGGAGCCTGTTCAGTATGTGCACAATGTGAAGATTACAGGCTGCAATTTGTTTCTTGTTTAGGTTTGAAAACATGGCTTGTGACCTTGTTCAAAGAGAGGTATGTGTGTTATCACTGCACACTCGTGGTTACTGGCCATTTGGCAACAAAATAATTGTGGTGTTTCTGACCTGGTAAAGACGAACCACAGGGTTGGTGACAGCAAAGATGAGGTTTATATTGTTTTCTGACATCTTTTCTGTAATTAAGGCCAGTGATGGGTAATCCTTTTGAACAAAGGGACAAAATCATTAAAAACCACAAAACAAGTTTAGAATGATGCAATACAGATAAGAATAATAATGCCCCACCATAGTTGTGGACATGCTGTACATGTTTTCAGAGTTGAGGTGGCATTTCCCGTCATTGGGTTGAACAATCCCTGCCAAGCGCCCGTCCAAAGCCACATGAGTCTTTGCGTCTGACGTAAAGATGAGGAGGTGGGAGGCTCCGGGACGCCAGCCAATCTTCTCCTGTCCACAACATACCATTACTGTACTGTATTGTGCTTGATTGTAATTAAGATACAACAATAACAGATGGCACATAGATACCAGAACACATTACATGTGGTGGATTGTAACAAGGTTCCAATTCAAAATCAGATTAGTTAAGTTAAAAAGGGCATTATGTACTTGTGGAAGGATGGAGGGGAGATGCTGTAGTTTTGCCTGGAATGTTCCACAAAATCATATAAAACCAAGCAATCTCCATGGAAACAAGGATGTACCTTCACCAAACCAAGAACATTTGGGCAATAAAACATGATTCAGCTGTGTAAATGAAAGATATATGAGTTTCTACCATACTCTGGAACATTCTAGCCAAAGCATTTTTACAACATTTTTATGACGGGTTGGTGAAATCCAGTTCATAACAATTTTACTCAGGTTTGCAAATGGCACAGCAAGCACACACCCCAAAACAAAATTTAATCTATATTTTGGTAAGAGCAAGTTTATGGAGTAAGAAAGCTTTCAAAAATATTCGTGCGCATAGATTTCTTACTCCATAAAAGTTGCGTTAAGTTTGCATACAAATTATGTAGTAACAGAAAACACAAATTATAAATATCATAATTTGCTCCTTAATCTTATGATTTTTTATCCTCTTGATGTGAACAAAATGTGAAAAAATCAATGAATAAGACATACGTTCTAATGTGTGCCTCTGTTTCTAAATTATTTACGTGTGTTTGTATTACAGAGCGACTGAAGAATGCGATCAGAGTGAGGCTGTTAGTAGGTGCGTGTGGTTCACCTTGCACACAGCAGCCTGGATGATGGCATCAAAGCCTCCCTCGGGGGCATCTCTGTTTCTGGACACCATCTGCTTCTTCACCTCCTCAGTGAAGCGCCCCACTTCCTCCGTCAGAGAGAGCACGTGCTTATACCCGAACTGGGGTAGGCAGGTGGTGTTGATGCTGTCAGTCAAAGAGATTATGCCTTATATTAAGATGTTTTGTATTAGGGTTTGTGGTTGGATGAAAGAGCTATTCTCTTCAGTGGGGGAGTTTTTGGTATTAATTGGTAATGGCTTCCTTTTCTTTTAAAGATTCAAAGCAAACTTAAAGGTCACATTTTAATAGCGAGTGGAGAATAGGTTAGTCACTGGACAAAGAAAGAATGAGACACAGTTTAAAGGGAACTTTAAAGTTAGCTTTTCTGATGGTGGCCTGTGTATGTCCAGAGACATGCACAGTAGAAAACTTATTTATCTTCATGGACACACGGAAGTGACACCACTAAGCAAAGCTACAGGTCAGATCTATTAAGAGGCAACCCTGCTCACATCCTGCTTTTTCGCAAAATTAAATAAATGCTAAAAATATGTGTTTAATGGCATGAAGTGGAACATTTCAGGCAAAGCAAAAACATCACCATGGAGACAAGCAGGTGGCGGACATCAACACGTGTTATGCAATGTACCTTTAAGTGTTCTTCTTAATTAGAAGATATGATCAAATCAAATAACTACCAGTAAAAATATAGTTTTCAAATGGATAACACATTAAATGGGCATTCTAAATTTAATCTCCATTTTCGCTGAGCCCTCGTTTTTCATACAAATAATGCATAACATGGCTGAGTGTGTGTAATGCAAAAAAATAAATGAGCCAAGAGGATTTTAAACCACTAAATCAACTGAAGCGTCTCCTCTCAGTGTGACTGTACAGCTCCACACATATCACCTGTGGTTAACTCAGAACAGCTGACCTGGCAACACTGTAAGACGTAAACACCGCCTCGCTCATGGTGTCAGATTTAAATAATGGTTTGAAGCCACAAGAATGACATCACTGTTCTGCACCAAAACAACTTCACCGGGGCGATTATACTACTAAGAAAACATTGTTAAAACTGAACTACATGCTGCTTGTTTCCATAAACAGGCAATTCAGGTTCTACTAGAAAAAGCTAATTTTAACTTTATAATGCCATTGACTTGAGTCTTCTGTGTGATCCTCTTCCTCAGACAAATCTTCTTCCTAACATGCTGGGATTTGGCATAGGTATTAAGCCAGATGCCCTTTCATTTACCATTTTGCCTTGAATATTCCACAATCTGGCCATAAAACAACTATAATAAAAAATAAAATATGCATAAGTTTAGAGTGGTGGATGAAGCACTCAATTTTATTTCTTAAGTAAAAGTACAGATGTCAGAGCAAAAGTAGAAGTATTAAAGCACCCGTTTAGAAAAGTAAACGTTTTTGTGCATATTGTGAGGTCTTACGAGGCTTGAAATGTAGTGATTTTGATTTTTTTCAGCTGTTTTTATGTGTGTTTGCTCAAAATACAGATGTGTTTATAATAAACCCCTAGGCTTTTCTGTAACTATAAGAAAAAATACCTTTACTTTTCAGTCTTTTACTAGTTACTTTTCTGCTCTCAAATATAGTGAAGTAAAAGTAAAAAGAATCCACTTTAAATGTACTTCAGTAATTTATACTTAAATACAGTACATTAATACTTTTACTTTTTTACGCTCCACTATTGACTACCATACATTATAGACAAAGCAATGACAACTCCATGGAGACAAACAGACAGCAGGTCCTCCACCAGAAAAGTAATTTACACCACAAGAATTGTTGTATGTTTTGTACCTGTAGCATGGATTTTTCACAGCCTCTTTGGGTGAGATGTACATGTAGGGAGACAGCGGCTTGTCCACAAATGCCCCAAAGCCCATTCGGAGGTTACTGGTGGTCCGGTTCATCGCCTCAGCCAGACCCCGGCCCAGTGTCCTGAGCCGAAACAGATCATCATTCATGGAGTAGGACAGGTCCATCAGATAGTACAGGTCCACAGGGTAGTCCTCCACCTGACGCACTTTTACTGTGAAACGCTTGGCATCATCTGTAACACAAAAGATACACCAAAACATGTTTAATTTTGAAGCAGTGAACAACAATGCAGCATGTCAAATACAGCCCTTAAGGTTAAGATATACTTTATTGATCCCTCATAAGAGAAATTCATACTCTACCCAACTTTCAACCAGTGCCGCTGGTGCAACCTGTCATCGTATCGCTCGAGGACCTCCAGATCTTGATCAAGACTTGGTCAGGACTATCTTATATAGGATTTGACTTATGGTACGTATTTTGAGTTGATGGGGAAAACTGGAGTGCGCAGAAGAAACCCACCCAGGCACGAGGAGAACATGCAAACTTACAGCAGTTAGAATTAAAACAGTTATCTATTTTTCCAAATCAGGATTCATTTCATAGTGCACATTTTAAACTGTCTATTTACAGTCATGCAATATTTAAACTGTATCTTACCCGGTCTGAGTGTGATGTGGAGTCTCTGGGGTTTGATTTGAGTGACTTCTTGTGTGGCGCCCGCTGCCTTGTTACTCAGTGGCCTGTCCTCCATCACCTGCAGTTTACTGTTGGGAGATTCGATTGAAGAAGGAGCACATCCTGATGCTACCAAGTTACTCTTCAGATCACAGCGAGATGATGTGACAACGCCATGGCCAAAATCCTGACAGACAAAGACAGGAAAAGGAGGAAAACGATGAAAATAAAAATGAAATGAGTGCCAGACTTGCTTTAAACATGCCTTGGTGAAACAATGAGGAAAAAAGTTGGACATAATATAGGACCTATTGCATGTATGTGTAAGAAAGCAGTTTTTTTTTTTGCATATTCAGTACTGGAAATATGATAGCAGACCAAAACGACATAATAACAGTAACAAAAGTGATTTACAATGTGGTGAGACTACAATGCCTCGAGGAAAACAAAAAAAAAAAACCACAAAAAAAAACAGCACCAGAATAATTATTTATAGATTATTTATATTTAAAGGGGTGGCATATACAGTGGCATTACATTGCATGTGGTTGTTTCACATGTTTTTCCAATGTGTTTTTTTTTTACTACAAAAGACAAATAAACTTCCCTAACCTAAACGCACTAAAGAGGTATTTTCACCCACCTAAACAAGGCAAGCTGGCATTTAAAAGTATAGGAAAAAAGTGCCTAGGAAACCCACCTCTTGAACGCACCATGCACAGCTGGGGTGCACAGCTAGACACTGTTTGCATGTGCTGGCTCCTCTGGAAGTGCAGACGTTTGAGCCTAGAAATGAGATTATTAGTCATTCTCTACATTAAACATAAACTTTTTAAACCTATAATTAAAAACATTTGTTTATGTTCTAACTTCCAAGACCTATAGCATTTTTCTTTTATTTTTTCTTCTATTAATTCACCATCATATGCAAACAATTACAGTTACAATTTTAATCAACAAGTAATCACACAAAATGATGACAAAAATGCAAACTCACCCCAAACTGTTGTCCTGGCTGTAACAAGAAAAACATAGTACCATAATATCCGGAGCCTGTGAAAAGCGCCCATCCTGGTGCGCTCTGGCTCTGATGGAACAGAGCTGCCAAAGAACTGCACGTACAAACCGAGTAAAAGAAGACCAAAGCAGCCTCAGAACCGCTCCAAATACAGTCAAAGGTGGAGCCACCCCCATTTTCTCACGATTACACCGTTAAAGATGCTGAGGGGCGGGGAAAGGGCCAAGAGCATCTCCGGGCCGTGAGAGCATTTACCGGGAGAAGGGCTGACACGTGGTCTACACCTGGTCCAAAATGTTGTACAGTAAATTTGACAGATTTTTTATTGTGAATTTAATTTGATGACAACTAGCCCCCATTTGCCTATATTTTCTTTTTCCCATTTAGTCCTCAAAAATGACTACAGTTATATAGACATACAGTATTACTATAGCCAGATGCATTATTAAGTCTAAGGATAAAGTTGGCTGGCAGAAACCTACAAATGATTTTGTTTTAATCAATCTTGACGGTTGCTTGAAAATTTGTAGTGTAGCTGATTTTGTTGAACGGTCCATCCATCCACAGCTCCAAATCACAATGGCCTGCGGTAAACTTTATTTTAGCTCACACTGCACACTGGTGGATTAAAGTGAAATTACACCCCTACGTCATACACAGAGGATACTGTGTTGAATTCATTATTTCATAGGCAAAATTATAAGATAATGTACTGTCTTGCAAGTAGGGGAATTGATGGGGTTTGCTAGAAAAAATACTCTTGATCAGAAAATAATACACGTAGAAAGGTTCTGTAAAACATTACAACTATGTTTGTAATTGCTTTCACTGCCACTAGATGTCAGAATCGCCAAAAAGTTTCACTTGGTGCTGAATGCTTTTGTTTTTGTTTTTTTTTTATCTTGGGATTACTAGCCTAGAATCAAAATATAAATCTTAAAAACAGGCCTGAATGAATGTGTATGTTTATTATAGGCTTTAAATTGTGTAAAACTGACTGACTGACTAGTTTCCATAGGTTATATAAGTCCAAAGACACAGTGGCTTTTTAACCATTATATTAGCAAAAATGTTGTATTGTTAATGTTGGAATTCTGAGAAAGTCACTCAGACAGAATATTTTCACTTTCGCAGAAGTTTTGCAACACCTCTTGGGACTCAGGGTCGTAGGACATGCATGTTTTGTTCTGAATTGTAGTAACTCTTTTCCAGAGACACTTTCATTTATTTCAGAGTTACGACTGTTGCCATGGCACCGAGATGTGGACTGTGCGACTCTGAAGTGGTCCCAATGTCAACAGTGGGAGCGGAGAAAATGTAATCACCAGCCCAAACAATGTACAGCCCTTGTCTCTTTGACACACAGGGAAATGGTAAGCCAAAATAGTCACATACAGCAGTGAAATTATTGTATATTTGCTTTATTTTGTTTATTTAAAGGTGCACTGTGTAACTTTTTGGTTGGGGGTCCGTCACCTTCTTGTTTCTATGGATATTTCATTCCTCTGCTTAGAATGTTCCACAATATGACATTAAACAGATATACCTTACATGTGTTCGTTACAGGTGGCTCAAAAATACCTAGAAAAAAAGGCATTCTGACTCTGAGCTGAGTTGCCTCTCCACAGATCTGACTTGTAACTTGATCTGGTCTGCTTGAAGATAGAAAAGTTTAATGCCATACTGTGAAACATTCCGGACAAAGCAATAACACCTCCACAGAGTAAAGCATTTGATGGACCCTCCACCACAAAAGTTACACAATGCACTTTTAAACTATAAAATCCAAATCATATGAAATAATTGCTTCAGTCTCAGAAAAACACTGACTATACTAGGAAAGAGTCATATCCATTGAGACATTTTTCTGGTATTGGAAACTTTTGTAGTTACAAAAAAGATTCAAATGCCTCATCATTGTATTACTAGTTTAAACTGTATCACAGCTTTAGAGTTGCTGCCTTTTCTATTAGTAATTTGTTTTTCAACCAGTTCAGCTTAGAGGGGTAATTTTTGATGTTTTTTTTTCTCTTGTCCACAGACTGCAGTTTGCTCTTCTTCTTTTCATGTTGCACAATTTTCCATCTGCAGCTCTTTATGTTGCTTCTTGTTTGCATTTTTTCTTCCTTCCCTCTTTTTGGACACTTTGCAGAAGCAGCAAAACTGAAACCCCTCTCCTCTGTGCCCCCATGAGTTTGACTGACAGCACCCCTTGCACACTTTAGAGTAACGTGTTTGTGTGGGCCGGTGGGGGGTGAAAGTGTATTTGGCTTGAACCTGGGGCCATTAACTGCAACATTTGTTACTTTTACTTTTTTTGCTTGGTACAGAAAGTCCAAACACGACTGTAGGAGAGCATAGTTGGCAGTGGCATAGAAATAGTCCCTGCAAAAGGTATTTACGAGGGAAAATAACAATGTTGAAATGACAGATATTTTTTTTTCATAATAGTAACATTTTGAATTGGATAAGAATCAGAAACAGAGAAAGTTTTGCTGCCACTGTCAAGGGCTTTAAATTCATAAACTAGGAATTTGCTAAGTCCATATGGTTCAATATAAATCAATGAATTATAACCATGAATAAACTGAAATGATAAAATAAAGGTAAGCTAATTGAATCCAGTCATAATACAAAAAAACTATAATTTTGTTTAAAAATATATAACGTCAAGTAAGGAACATTTATAAGGGTCCTAGCCACCATTTTTGTCAGATAAATTACAGTTTTTATGACATTCAGTGATCATTAATTTTCTTTTTGTAGACAGGCCCAACTTTTCCAGGATCAGGGTGGTACTTAAAGATTGTGTGTTGACTTAAGAGTTAATGAATGGGTGATTGGGGGCTCTAGGGCTTGTGCAGAGCAGAGCCCTGGTAACAACCCGGTTTCCCAGGGGAAGGGTAGAGAGCAAGAATAAGGCATAAAAGACTGAGAGAGGGGCGGCTGGGTGAACCACTTGAGGCAGAAGTATTCTAAGTGGCAATAAAGCAAGTAGCATGTACTTGACAAGGACCCAAAGAGCAGAGGAGAGAGAGGGAGAGAGGAGCAGCTGTTGAGGAGGAGGAGAGAGAGACAAAGCGGAGCAAACGGGGGCTGTCCTTACGTGCTCTGGAGTTCAGCCCGTATCTGTGGAGAGGAGGAGAGAGGAATCAGGAATCAAACTAGAAACCACCTAACAGAAAGCAGGCAGTATGACTTTGTAAGGAGATACATCTGGCTTTGACTTGGATTGATTAAGCTTGTGTTGTGTGAAGTTTGGGACCATGCAGCACACTTGGAGCCTGCTGGCCTGGCTGTGTGCCCTCGTGCCTGGGCTGATGGGGGTGTCGTGGGGGGCAGACTTCAGGCATCACCGCTACGAGGACATGGTGCGCGCCTTGTTCGCCGTCCAGAGCGAGTGCCCCTACATCACACGCATCTATAGCATCGGGCGCAGTGTGGAGGGGCGGCATCTCTATGTGCTGGAGTTCACTGACAACCCAGGCGTCCATGAAGCATGTGGGTAAATCTGTCAGAGACTGCTGTTACACATGGGGCAAATGATGCTTTGTTTACATTTGGATGGACATCTTTAGAAGTTTGATCAGTGTTGTGGTCTCCTAAGACTGTGGGAAATGTCGATTACTAATTTTACATTATTTTTAAATACATTAGCCTACATGATTTTTGTTCTCTGAATATTGAAATAATGCAGGTTTGCTCTGAAAGGAAGTAGTTTTTTCTTCTTTCACACAGTTCATAACTACTGAACCAGCTTGTGTTTGTTTTACCTATCACTCACAAAGTGGAACCGTAACCTCAATAATGTGAGTGTTTATACAGAAAACATACCACAGGGCCACACTTATCTATCAGCCCTGAACATAATTCATGTGCCACTACTTGCACAGGGCTTTTCAGGGAATGCTGTTTTGGCTGAGGTTTAGTCTGCACACGTAAAGGCTTCCTTCAGGAGAATAGAAGGATGTGAGCATTTCTGTTGCAAGGTGACCAAGTGAAAAACAGGAACTGTGCACTTCATGAGGGGCTGACCTCCGGTCTGTCACCCTCTGCCATTAGGAACATGTATTTCACATGCTGCTCAGAGCAGGAGCATGCCTATGCACCCTACACTGTGGCCAACACTGGTCTCTGAACTAACAGCCAGTTGGCCCCTTGTTAAAGAAACTGAGGTGAATTGCACTAAGCTCCATTTGGGGCCTTAAGCAATTACAGAAGGAGGTTCATAAAAGTATCAGCTAACCTGCACAAGATCTTTTTCTGTTAAATAATATATAATTAACATTTTGCACCACACACATAAAGATAGTTTGTTTTATTTTGTCTCAGTGTGGTGTTTGAGGGTTCACTCAGCACTCTAGCCGTGGTTGATGAGGGAACCCCCGAGAGGAGCAACCCAATACAGAACAGGAGTCTGTTTGGATAAGCAGCTTAACCAATCAGTGCCTGATAACCCTAGGAAGGTTAGAAGAGCTAGCTAAACAATTCAGACAAACTCACCTCACTCAAAATGGTCCTAAAACTATGGCAGTTCCTGCAGTTCAGTATCAAGGGGGCTTCTTGCAGTAATTACAATCAAAACTTCTGATATTGCTCGAATGTGTGTGCTCTCAGACAATTTAAACATTATATGCAACCTTCCTGGCTTTTTGACCTGTAGCCCCTCTCTTCCTCCTGTTTCCCAGTGGAGCCAGAGTTCAAGTACGTCGGCAACATGCACGGTAACGAGGTCCTAGGCCGTGAGCTCCTCATTAAACTCGCTCAGTTCCTGTGTGAGGAGTATCGTGCAGGAAACCAGAGGATCACCCAACTGATCTACGACACACGCATTCACATCATGCCCTCCATGAACCCAGATGGATACGAGGTGGCAGCCAGACAGGTAACATGATTCAATATGTAAATACATAAGGCTCAACATATACTCCATTTCTCTAAGCCGTGATACACATAGTCATTTGGCATTGGCTTTACAACATTATCTCCCATGTCTCTGTTAATTGGATTTCAAGGCAACACTAAGACTACACTGCTTGATTGTGATGCTTCATAGTTAGATTTCCATAGACTTTTTGTATGTATTTTTTTACTCCCAGATAAATAGTTTCCTCTGATTTCTTTGTTTCTGCCAATGGAAAATATAATTGTAAACTTAAGAAATTCCCCAGCCTGTGATTAGACCAAGATGTTTTCATTATAGGTGAACCAAGGACCTAATGTGATATTACTGTAATAATAACATGTATCAGAACCTCAGGTTGAATTACATGGGGCATGAAACATCCCATCGGACCCAGCCCCCCTTAAATGCATACATATGTGCACAATGTCAAATTATATGTCACTCATACTCACACATAGACACCGCACTGTAATTTCTCACATCAACAGAAGTGCAGCCATAACAGCAACTGCAAAACAATAGGACAGAGTACACTTAACTTACAAGCCAGTTCAAAGCAGAAAACTGCCAAAATAATATGCAAAGATTATTCACTCTGGTGACCCTATGTGGAAAAAACTGAATAAATCCAATTGTGTTCAAGTCAGTATTGAATCATTTCAAGGAAATATTGATGCACAAAGCCAAGAATGTGGTATTTCAAACTAAATAAAAGTTATTGGGGGAACTAATCTCTTTTTCCGTATTAAAATGAGCGTTTCAACATAAATCTTTTGCAGTTGTGGTCTTGTAAATCATGCTATTTGTAGAGTTAGAGCTTTTAAAAATGGTCTTCTTATTTATTTGTCCTCATGATCAATATTCAGTCAGTTATGTTATTAATTTGTCAGGGTCCAGAGCTGAATGGCTATCTGGTGGGTCGAGGGAACGCCAAGGAAATTGACCTGAACCGTAACTTTCCTGATCTGAACGCTCTCATGTACTACTACGAAAAAACCAGTGGACGAAACCACCACCTGCCTCTGCCAGACAACTGGGAACAACAGGTCAGTGCCACTATAGTATCTGCTCTACAAACTAAAGATGTTTAAAGGTGCACTGTGTAACTTTTCTGGTAAGAGTCCAGGACCTGGTTGTGTCTATGGATAGGGAGATTGCTTTTCCCTGGAATGTACCACAGTAGGGCATCAAACTTGCTTATTTAATTATAGGTATTTTTTATATTTTATAAAATAATACCTTGAAAAACATGCACTATACTGTAAGCAGGCCCACCTCTTCACAAATCAGACCTGTAAACTGGCTTGGTGCTTGTCTTCATGGAAGTAGATAAGTTTAATGTCGTACTGTGAAAAATTTCAGACAAAGCAACAGCATCTCCATGGTAATAGACTCTCAACCCAGAAAGTTACACGGCACACTTTTAAATAATCAGGGTCATAGGTTGAGTTGAGTTAAAGGGAGACAGATGACATAGGAAGGCAACAGGGCCTCTACTTGTGACTGTTTACTTGACTCCTTTTGAACCTAAACACTGTCGCTGTGTTTGCTTATCTTCCTGTCAAAACTGTATTAGGTCATATAAACGTTACTTTAGGAAAAAAGTTGGGGTTCCTTTGTTTAAAAATGCGTTATAGTTTGCAAATACAATAGTTGTTTTGTCATTGCTTCTTTCAAAACATGCATGGAAAATATGCTAAAATACTTTTGCCTGACACTTTGAAATATGTAATCACATTTAGATGTAAGAACCAAGACTGAAACTGTGGATTTGGCTTGAAATCAGCACTGACTCTTGATTCTGTTCATACACGTTTCTAGTGTTGTAATTTTCATACTTTTATGGTCACACCAGTGCGCTTGTCCAAGCAACGAACACTCAAAGTGATAGCTGAAATGTTATTAAAATTCTTCATGTATTCAGTCCAAAATCTAAATATACTGTATCTGCAAGAGAAGGTGCAATACAAATAATGATCTATGCACAGTTTTATCCACTAAAAAATTGGTCAGCATTAAATAAAAATTGCAACTGCACCCAAATTAGCTGCTAAAATATCTAATAAACACCTACATCTGTGTGAAAATGAATGCCCTGCTCTTCCCATTTGCTGGCTGGCTGTCTTCCCAAGCGGCTGCCTCCCCAACACACAAAAGGGTAACTGTGCCACTGTTACAGATCCTTCATTCATGGCCTCAGGATCACATTCACCAACTACATTTCCCTGTGTCCTGAAGCCACAAGTCCATGCAACATTTAAGCCATTTAAATGAACTCAATGTTGTAGGTTAATCTAGGGGCATGCAGTCATAAAACAGGCTTTACTGAGTTACGCAAAAAACAAAACAGGACATATGTCTTTGGAGCAGTCTAGTTTAGGTTTAGTCAGGGTTAAGGTTCAGTGTTCCTTTAAAATGCTGTGGAATATTGTGTGTTAAAATAAGCAAGATAGTTTGCAAAGGTATTTTCTGTGTATTCAGTGCCACTGTGGAATGTATAATTTGCTTTTATTGTTTGAATGTGCGTTTAAATAAAAAATCCCACAGATTTTTTATTTTGATTTGGGTTATTATTGTTGAAACTTTAAAATCTTACAACTGAAGCCCACTGATAGTATTACAGAGAAACATTTTATTGTTTTCTCATTTCTATCTATGCTTTTTCATTTTAGTTAAACACTTTAGGGTTCTTAGATGAACTCCTTGTTTGAGTACTGTTACTATTCTATCTTTAACCTTAATATTGACAGATAAACAATACAATACTGACCCTTCTGTAAAGAACACACCTTGCAATGGGTTTGGGTGAAAAAAAAGGTAAAATATAATGACTTTATTCCTCATATCGATAATTTTCAAGTAAATGTCAAAATGTCTTTATATATTGATTGATACTGATACAAATGTGTATCGTACAGACAAATGAGTACAAATTTAACACAAAATTTTAATTGAACTCATGCTTTCATTGACAGGAAATTAGCTGTGGACCTAGACCTGTCATTATAACAAATTTTAAAGAACGAAATATTGATACAGAAATATACTGTGATAAATTATAATAGTGAAACTACTTCATACCACTGACACAAAGCAGGATAAGCCCAGTAAATATTTTTTAAATATACAGTATCATTAACAGGCCTGAGCTGCAACATGTCATGTACTATTTCTGGTTAATAATTTAAGCATAGAAGTCACTTATTCTGCCTTTTACAGCTCAAATGCAATTATATTTCAACAAAAAATACCCCCCAAATACCCCACACTTTTATAAATAAAATGTACACATGATAAATATTAAACCACAAAACATATTGTTCCAGCTTCTGTATATTGAATGATAAGCCGATATTGTGATTATTGTGACAGGCCAATGTGGATCTCTCCATTAAAAAGAACGAACCATATCAATGACTATTAGAAATGACTGAAGCTCTACCTTACTCTATATGAGCCACACAGATTACAGGGGCAAAATTATGTGCTGACATTGTGGTAATGGTGAGATATAATTCCATAATTTATGCAATTCCTAACATTTTTCACCAGTCACCAGTCCTAATAGGCCACCCAATGTTTGTTATGTTTTTGTTTGTTTGTATTGCGATTTTAATGTCTTTCTTCTGTAAAGCACTTGAATTACTTTGTGTACGAATTGTGCTATACAAATAAACTTGCCTGGCCTTGCCAACTATTATGGTGAAATATTGTGAAAGATGTAAACATTATATAAACATGCCCCTGCCAAATACCTGGCTTGAGTTCACACACTAAGGTGGCAGCTGTTGTGTTCAAGGCCAATGGACTGGGTTATTCTTAAACAAGCAGTAGGCTACACTGTTTATTGTCCTACATAACTTAAACATGGACAGGCATTAGTCTCTCTCTGTGTTTATAACATATGGCACTAAGCTAATAAGCACTGACAAGACTGTATAGACTACAATTTAAAATGCTTGAAATAACAGATAATTGCATCGATTGAATCCCCTTAAACAATCTGAAGTTTATGCCATTTGTTGAGGATGGAGATGGAAAGGTCTACCACATTCAAGGACTGACATTTTGGAAATTATGTACATTGCAGAAACAGACTGAATTTGTATTTGAAACGTCTCTGATTACTTTAAAGGTTCCTGGGTTTACTTGTTCCAGCTACTTTGGACCTACATTATAGATAATGGTTTAAATTATAGTTGCTTCAATTTCCAATTATTCAGAATTTCATTGCAGCTGCAACAACCCTGGTATTTGTGATGTGCCGTTTCAAGTTTGATATCACAAAGTTGTATCAGTAAAGCTAAAACTCTATATTGCCTAATCTAATAACATATTTTCATTTGGTTAGTTAGGAATTATATGGGGGTCGCTTCTAAGTATTTTGAGAAAAAATACAGAAATACATAATAAAAAAAAAAGAGTGAGTTCTCCAGTTTTCATGAATGTTCTATTGCGAAATTAAGAGTTTCAAGACTAAATGCATTACTGAATTACAAACAACTCATTGTCTAAAAAAATGGAAGCCAACAAGTGTACTAAAGTACAGTTGACGTTTTCAGATGGCAAGTCACAGAAAAATCTATTTTATCCAAAAATTGAGCTAGGCAGGGGAGATTGTGTTTCTGGTTGCACATAAAAACAGATGTCCTCAATCTTCTGATGTTGGGCTCCAAGTGTAGCTTTATGTAAGACGCGGTAGTTTGAAATACCAAGGGGCTTTCATGTTTAGGTCAAAGGGCCATACATGAATGAGATGAGTATCTGCTACTGCTTAACTGTTGTAACTTTTGAAATCCCCTCCTTAGGTTGAACCAGAGACGTTAGCGGTCATAAAATGGATGCAAAACTACAACTTTGTCCTGTCAGCAAACTTACATGGAGGAGCGGTGGTGGCCAACTATCCGTTTGACAAGTCCCGAGACCCCCGTATTCGAGGAAGGACCACATATGCTGCCACTGCTGATGACAAACTGTTCAGGAAGGTGAGATAGGCACATGATGATTCCAGATGTTGTATTTTGTCTGAAAACATGTGGAAGGATGACTCTGTGTATGTGTGGTCATAGTTGGCCAGAACCTACTCGTATGCACATAGCTGGATGCACAAAGGCTGGAACTGTGGAGACTACTTTGATGAAGGGATCACCAATGGAGCCAGCTGGTACTCACTGTCCAAAGGTGAGCAAAGAAAATCATAAAACATTTTTAACCTTAAAATTACTTGTAATATTTTACAAAACCAAAAGAGACCAAAAATAAAATAAAACCCTCCCCACCCCTCTCTCGCTACATGCAAGATTTCACAACATCATATTAAAAAATACTACTAGTTGCTCAAGTCCAATCCTACCAAACTATTTTTAAAAAAGTGCTCCTATTTGTTAAAATTTATGTTGTTTTTTCCTTGTACAGTGGAGAATCTTCTCCTAAGCACAGTAGGGTTAGTTTCTGACTGGGGGATATATAATTTATACTAGATTGTATAGTCTTAGTAATGTGATCCTTCAATAAGTTAATAACTACATTTAATAGTGTTGAATGACCAAGCCAACAATCCTGAAATTAACAAGAACTATTCTGACTGGATTATCAAGAAAGATAAAAATGTATTTTAGAGGTCTTTTATTTCACCTGAAGTAAAGATTATGGCATATACTGTATTCCAAAAGGTGATTACTAACTTCTGTTGACTGGAGTTACTTTAGTATAATGGCATGTGACTAAAATGTTATGCAACAACAGAATAGTAATATCTTGATAACTGAAAATACCAAGATAAATATCTATTCAAACCTCAATGACACAATCCCTCCATGTTAAGATAAATAAGTGTTTAATATAGCAAATGTTAATGTAATTATGTATTAATAATGATAAAGGCGAGACAAAGACAAACATTTGAAGGTACATTGTGTAACTTTCAGGTAGAGGATCCGCTACCTACTTGCCTTCATAGACATTGCAGTTTTGCTTTGAAATGCTCCACAGTATGACATTAAACTTATCAACCTTGCATTTATTCAATTACGGGTGATTTTATTTCTCAAAAATATTTTGAAAAAACTCCTTAAATTCTACCATAACTTGGCTTGCTGGCATCACATGTTTGTCTCCATGGAGATGGATAAGCTTAATACCATACTGTGGAACATTCCAGGCAAATAATAACATTCCATGGAGGCAAGCAAGGACTCTCCATCAGCAAAGTTACCCAGTGCACCAATAACTTTGGCTGAAGTAACAATTGTATATATCTTACATACATCTACAATTCACACATTTTTTGCTATCAAGTTTCTAACAAATATAGCCAAGGCCACCTGCATGAGTCCTGGGCTTATGGTTAACATCCTTGAGATTCCCCGAGTGTCTCAAATGGCATGCTTTCTCAATGTCATTTAACACTGGTCCAACATTACACACAACACCACCATTTACAACAGCTAGATAGGGCGCTCATATTACTATATGTCAACAAGAGCCCGTTTACCTGAGGGAATCTCTTAAAATGGCAGACTTATTTAACTCAAGATGTACTAATCCTCCAGCAAGCTCTCACGTCTCTCCATAGCCTAGGTTTATCTTTGGAGAAATCCCAATTGTGTTATTTCACCATATAAAAACTAAAATAATTTATCCTTTGAAGGTACACTATTTCAAGTTATAGATCAGATTTGTAGAGAGGGAACCCCGTTCAAAATAAGAATAGGCCCTAGGTGTTTTTCAAGGTATTATTTAGCACATGTAACCAAATATAGGCAAGATAAATCTGTTTAATGCAATACTCTGGAACATTCTATCCAAATCTATAATATCTCCACGGGGACAAGCAAGTAGTGGACGCTCTACCAGAAAAGTTACATAGTGCACCTTTAAATGAAAATAAGATGACTTGTAAGTCCACAGTGTCCATTTTCATCAGTTCATTACATTTTTATCTTAGCTAATGTGAAATTTACATTTACACAATTACTGAAGCGCTATTTAACCACTTTCAAAACAAGCCACTCTGTTAAATTCATACCAAAACTGAAAAAGACCACAATCACCTAATCGTCATCAGCTTACTCAAGCATTTTCTTGTTTTAACTGCCTTCCTCTGACAGAATTTGCTTGTAAATTCTGTAAATTTTAGGTTTCATCAATCAAAAATGTCCTCATATGTGATTCTTCTCACTGCTGCCACATTAAAAGCTCAACAATACCAACGTCAGCCAATATTTTCATGTTCATTTGGCTCTCACGACTCTCTGGAGCTTTTACTAGAGTTTGGTTCAATTTATTGAGTTGGACACCTTAAGGCGAAGAATTACGAGAGTTTTGGTTGTGCCAGACAGACATCGCAAAATCCACCCTTTTTGGTTGAGTATGAGGGCAATTTTTTCGTCTTTTTGATTTACTTTTACTGTTAAATAAGTCAAAGAATGTTTAAAGCCCTCCACATTGTCTAGACGTGCAAAGCATTTCAGTTCAGTTAATCCATAACTATAACAAATGTATTTCTCTGATGTTTATGTGTTCTGGACTTGGCTGTCTGACACTGTGCGTTGCTATTTGAATCTCATGAAGTCTTTGTGAGCTTTTGCCAGAGATGAAAAGAGCCACAGTCGCATTTAGTGGGAGCACGTTAAAGTTTATTTTGACATCTCCATTTGTCCAAGTCTTATGTCATGGTCTGGGAGGTTTTAACTTTCACTCCCCACAATGTCCTCATGTCTATTAAGACATTATGAAAAGTCATGCTTTACTGAGGAAACATTTTCTATGTTGCAAGCGCTAAATTGTCAATGAACACTAGTAAAATGTACTAAATTCCTGGTGGATACTTGTAGTGTATTTTTCAAGAAGGTTTATCTTATAAATCATTAGCATTACTACTAACTGTATAGCTGAAAATAAACTAATGGAAAGAATATTGAGCCCCTTTAAAGCTGTTACATAACAATTCGGAATTTGTCAAAGTATTAACAATGAGTGTGGGATAAGCTGTAATAATAACAATAGCTATAGTAGGAGCAGTGATAATAGTACCCATGCTAGCTGTGTTACAATTTTTCCACAGTGGAAAAACTAGGAATGCTCCGATTCAGCCTTTTTAGTTACGATAACGATTTCGATACTACTTCTTTAAATATCAACCAATAACCAATATCAACCGATACTGGAACAGAAACTGAAAACAGCATTTATTTACTTAAACCAAAACAAGATAAACTGTTCCAAATGTGTTATTTACCTACTTAGATAGTATTTTTAGGTACTATTTGTGTAGTAATTTCTCCCTCAAGTAACTACAAAACAACTTTGTGTGAATGAAAGTTCACCATGAGACTTTCGAGTCCACTTACAACCAGAAATAGTATTACATTAAATCCATTTATAGGCTCAACCAGAATATAGACTGAACCAATATTTTTCACTTTTGGCGCAGAAATCTGATACCAGTATTGGATCTGTGCATTCCTAGGAAAAACATGTGTAAAGAGTTCATAGTGCACCATGTGACATTAAAGAACAACCATATGAACAAACAACAGACAATCATTACTTACGACATATGATACCATGAAATAAACAAGCTACAAAGATTAACGAGCCAAAATAGTAATGGCGAGAAGTCTTACATGTAATGGAACTATATCTGCTTCTTGTATTGCCCATTAAGAGTCTATAAAGACATGTAAGCAGCAAAATAATGTAATTTCTCTCTGATCATGGTCACTCAAATAACTCATATCAGATGATTTGCATGTCATTTAAATAATCCTAAAAAGTAAAAAATCTGATAATAATCGGATTTTGGTTTGCATGAGAACACAGCTACTGAAGCATCACCGCTTCCATTAATCATAGGGTGTGTTTACACTTGCACACTTGCACATAAACCGCATCAAAAACCTGGACTAGACCATGACTTAACCAAGACTATAACAAGAACAAACCAAGTCTACATCTGGATTAAACTGAGCCAAACCAAGACCCATGAACACAGAGTCTGAACACACCCTTAGATTATTTATTAACACTTTTTTGTTGCCTATTTTTCAGGGATGCAGGACTTCAACTACCTGTACACCAACTGCTTTGAGATCACTCTGGAGCTGAGCTGTGATAAGTTCCCTCCAGCCTCAGCTCTGCCCAGAGAGTGGCTCGCCAACCGGGAGGCACTTATCTCCTACCTCGAACAGGTTAGATATTGTCTCAGTCATGGTCCTATGGGGGGGTCTCAATCTGTACTGCAGGTGTCACTGTTCATATGCATATGGTATTCAGATTATTTTTACTTTTAGTTCTACTTAGGCCCAGTCAGTTTGGGTACGGCTCTTGTTTTTGCTGTTTTATTGTTTTTGTCTCCATAAATATGCTATAAAACTCACTGGTTGACAACTGTAGTTACTTCAATACATGTTAAGTCTTGTGAAGACAGATGAACAGTAATTTGATGTAGAATGTATTATGTCAAATGTATTATTACATAGTAAATAGCATGTTTTTAAAGCATTTTGGAGGAAGCAAAACATGCCATTATATGTGATGGGGTTGTCTTGGTCATTTAACTTGTCCTGTCCAGGTGCATCATGGGATAAAAGGCATTGTCTATGATGAGAACAACAATCCAGTGGGAAAAGCTGAGATCTCTGTGGCCGGCATCAACCACGATGTGACCAGTGGTGAGGAGCAGTAGTGTAGCTCTGACCTCTAGTGGTTGAATATTGAACTGCATACACAACATGCATATTTATTTTCTCAGGAGTGGATGGAGACTACTTCAGGCTTTTGTTGCCTGGTACCTACACAGTGACTGCCTCTGCTCCAGGATATCTCCCCTCAACCACCACAGTCACAGTTGGCCCCGCTGAAGCCATTCTGGTATAAATATTATACCTAAAAAATAAAAATGCTACTATTTACCATGGGTTTTACTTGGTCCAGTCACTCATAACTGTTTACTGCTGTTTTTTTCAAATTATAAAGTAAACTATATATATATATATATATATATATATATATATATATATATATATATATATATATATATATATATACACATTTACTGTCATTTCTTACACTGTATATATTTATTCTTTATCTTTTCTCTAGCTGAACTTTTACTTGAAACCAGCACCAAAACAGAACCTGAAAGGAAAGCCCCACAAGAGGAACCTGTCATCCCACAAGGCACCGCTCAAACTGGGCCCGAGATGAGGCCCACCTAAAAACAGACACTGAAATCCTCATCACATACTCTAGCCACATAAGCTTGGATGCAGAAGCAATGGCATTTTCAACAAAACATGTATTGTTTAAATCTTTATAATCAATGTAATAATTTGTTGCTCTGTGTTTTTGTGGTTCTAGTGAATAACTGAACGTCTTTTGTATTTATGTAACAAAGTTGTTGATTTTCTGTATCCTGTATTTGTAAAACATGATTACTGTTGATTACTTTATAATGATGATAAAATGTAGAAGGAATAGAAATAAAAGAATGTTTTTACTCTTTTAGACCAGTTTCTAAATGATAATTTTTTTGTCCATGTTAAGTAACATCTTATCTATATTACAGTTACAGCTACAGTTACGGCTGAGTGAACTTTGGGCAGTGCTGTAAATGCAATGGTATCAAGTAAGCTATATTTTTAATAGACTACCACAGTGTTACAACATGCTTTCAGACCTCCCTTGCTCACCTGTAACAAGTTCCCATTTCAAGCTCATGAATACATAGTTTGAGGACTTGCGATGCTTAAGTTTTACATAAGTTAAGGTTGTACTGAATTGCAAAAGAAAAATTCAATTCTGTCACTTGACAAAAGCTTTTGATTGAAGGCGTTACGTAGCTCATCCAAGCTGCTTCTTCAATTCTGGTCAGATTGCTGGTGGACAGAGCCTTATATTTGCCTTAAGGGAGGAGTTAACTACACTGAAACTACTCTGAAACTAACACACCCACTTATTTCTATTTTCTGTTTGTTAACTACTTCACTAAATGTGAACTGTGCCCTTGTTTTACTGAATTGTTTTCATTTAGACAGTAGAGGGCGGCAGAGGATAATTTGGACCAGGACATTTCTTTCAGGGCAAGTTAGAAGTCATAATGGAACAAAGTAGGTCCTACAACTGAGTACAATCCAAAACTCCCTCTGGTTAAAGGAAATGAATTGGTGTCAAAGCTGTGAGTTCTGAGGTCTATGCACTGTAGACAGTTTCCATGACCATCATTTATTTAGTCTATTGAATAGTCTGAGTACAAGTTTTGTGTTGTTATGGATTCTCCTTTGTCAACACATATGTCTCCTAGTGCCCGCTCTTCTGGTGCCAGCTCTTCATGCACAGGAAAGAGGAAAGACACACTTCACTTCAGACTGAATAATGACAGTGATTTAAGACTCCTTCAACAACAACAAGGAACCATACAAGAGGAAACGGAAGTAGCAGTATAGCTGTACAGAAGTGTGTTTAGGTCAATGATAAACAAAACATAGTAAAAAGCCTTCTTTTATACATACAAGCATTCATAGTACTCCGAATACCCTATACTATTACTATGCGCTATTACAATGTCTTTTCTTTTAGTTAAATTATCAAATGAAGCTGCATTCCAACAAAACATAAATTACTGAAGTTTTATGTGAGGTGCCAGTTGTGATGGACCCTATTATATTTATTGGGGTTTCTTGGGATGCTAGTTGGGGCCAATAAAAAAGTATAGTTTGCATTTGTTGGCTAGCATACACATATTTGTTTTATATTATTTTATTAGTTTTAAATATTTATTATAGACGTTTTACAAAAAAGGGTCCACAATATTTGAATGTCAAATTTTCAATACATTTTCATCATGACAAAATTAAATAACAACTAACCAAAAGCAAAATTCTTCGACAACCTTCAGAAGGGAATATTTATGTATTTGCTTGTTTGTTTAAAAGCATAATTCAGTCTGTGTTACACATATACAAACATGTTGGAACTCTCTGTCAAGTAAAAGTAAATTCCTTTTCATATAATAGTTACAAATGACTCAAAAGATCACAAGCCTTTGAGACACTAATGACTACAAGAAATTTTTACAATCACTCCAATTTTCTGCCTACTCAAACACTGTCATAGCTGAAGCGTCCTTACCACTGATACAATGGCACTGATTGTACTCTCCGGCAGTACAGCCTCTGCTTACGGCCTACAGTGCCTATAGTGACGATAGTTTGGCACAAAATACAGAAAGACAACAATAGACCCACATAGTGCTCCTGAATGAGAGTGACCAGTGTGTAGAGACAAAGCCTGCGTTTATAGTCACTCTGATCTGGACCTTTCTCAGTTATCGACATGAGTGGCTGCAGTAGACTTTAGATGTGGCGTCAATGAGCCCACCAAAAACCCACCACAGTGTCTTACTCATTGACTAAGCAGTATTGGGAAGTGACTGCTTTGCTCTGAATATCTGAAAGTAACGACTGACATGGCATAGGAACAGGGAAGAATTTTTTGCTAGTTCAGGCCAGGATTTGATTCACATCTGGTTCAAATTTAGAAATTGGAATGAGCATTATTTATTACCATTGATGTTTTAAGAAAGGTCTATTTAAAATGTGCATGTGACTTTTCTGGTAGGAAGTGTGACCATCATCTTGTCTCCATGGAGATGTTATATATGTGCCTGGAATGTTTTAATATGGCTTTAAACATGGGGTTCTCTCTCTCTCTCTCAGCTCTAATCTTTAACTTGGTCCCCTTCTAATGCTGTACTAGAGACAAGAAGGTGGCAGAGATTCACTCAAAAATATCAGATTGCGCCTTTGAAAAGACTATATACATTTACTTTTGAAACTGTTTTGTATACGCAGCCAACAAATACAGTGATGCAAGACAAAATAATCATAAAAAAAAAAAAATCCTAAAAGTTGCCTAAGATGTAGTCATTTTTGTTCAAATATTTGTGTAAATTTGCTTTTTGTTTGTCAGAGCTTTAGAGATTTGATTCAATAAGCCTACAGCTGTTTTCAGCAGTGAAAACAATGCAGTAGGTCTTTATGAATACCATTTTGACATTGTTTTTAAAGATGATCCAGTATACTCCACTATATAGTCTTTCTTTTCCATGCCAGACCCCATTCCACAGGTATTCAAAGATTTCCTGCCATTGTTCTCCTCATGAGAGTTCACATATGAGGAAACTGTCATTACTGCCAACGCTGCAAAACCTTCTCTCTCTCTACACACACACACACACACACACACACACACACACACACACACACACACACGCACACACAGACACACGCGAACACACACACACACACACACACACACACACACACGCACACACACACACACACACACACACACACATGCAATGCACGCACACACACATGGACACACACAGAGGATATGGTTTAGCAAACGTGTAATCACTCACGCAATAACTGTGATTTGCCCTCTTTAAAAAGGGGTTCTTGGACTTAATTATTCTAAATGACTAGGCAGATACATCTTCAGAACGAGGAGAAAGCCACAGCTGTAAATCTAACTTCCTGAACCTCTTGTAGACTTGCAGGCACCGTACAGTTTGAACGGATTAAAAGAATTTGATTTCAGTATTTTAGCAGAATATGCAGAAAGAGGTATTACTTGGAGAAGGGTTGTGCACATTTTTGTCTGGGTGGAGTGGACAGTGCAAACAAGTGCTGACCTGTTGAACACTATGAGGTCATGTTTGAATCAGGAAATGTGTGTTTATATTACTGCAACACTTCTGTATTCTGACAATATTCAGATTTAAGGCAATGTTGGATTAAAATCACAACAGACCTCAAATGTAAAACTGCTAGGCAGCACTAACTCCTGTCACCACTCAGACCCAGTCAAGTCCGTTTGATAGCAAGGGGAATTTGCCTATTCACAAATACATTTATTTACATACTTTAACAAAATGCATTTGAATATCCTCAAAATACAGCATTTTATTTGAGCTCAAGGGGTATAGACAACATAGATTCTGTTTTCTGCACCCACGACAGGCCCGTGTTGTACTGCATATAATAGCCTACAGGGATTATTATCAGAGTGGGCACATTCACAATAAAATAGATGAGATAGAAAGACAGGAAAATTACCAAAATCATACTTAATACTTGTCAGCTTTTCTGGAGGCATACTTATTTTTTCAGTTAATTTACAAAAACATTCAAAGTTCGAACTTCTAATTTGCAAACCACTATCATCATCAAATGCCAAAACAAATCTTACTTAGTTTTACTTTTTGCCCGTGAAACAAATTTTACTTTAATTGATATAGCCCAATAGCAGACTAATTGAAGCTTTTATCTAGTTTTGCCAGATTTTTTTTCCTCAAATATTAGGCCTACCCTTACAAGAACTCAAAACAAAACAATTATTTGCACTTTCTGATTAAGGTTTTTTATTCATTTGTTTATTCTATTTATTTGTATTTTGGACAGGCATGAGTTGGGGCAGCTCTGGTTGTGTGGAAAAAGTGGGTGGTGTCGTGTCGGTGCATGGTGAGCGGGTGAGCGCAGAGAAGTTCACCAGTTACTAACGTGATGACAGCTGACCGTATACTGACCCAAAACCTGCCCCACCGCGACACTTTTTTTTACCAGCATGTTTTCTCGACCACTGCGATAAATCTACGGATCATGTCAACGCACTGAAGCCGCAGGAAGTTTATTTTTGAGCTCTCTTAAAGTAGCCCCTACAGCTCAAAAACGCAACTCCTCCGCGACCACATCATCACCAAACTCCAAACGCAAAAAGTTGGATTTCTTGTTCAACTGGATTTAACGGATTTCCATTTGGAGATGGTCTGAAGGTAAGGGTGCACAACATTACAAAAAAAACTCTACTCTTATGCATATGATCATGTGATAACTAGTTCATTATTATTCACGTAGCCCATGGTGGTACTTTTACGCACAAAACTTTTACACAGCCAAGATAATTTTCCGTAGACTAGGAGATTTGTGGTGCTGTTATTGCCAAGTGGTGACAGTCTTTTGGAGGACAGTGGATAGAAAAGGCTTCAGGATGGATCCAGGGCACGAAGCGTTCAATGAGGCGTATAACAGACCAATGACGTGAGTGGCATGACTGATGGCATTGAGCTCTTGAACTGTAGACCAAATAATCCCCCTGTTTGTCACATGTGGTCAAACTGAAACCAAAACATTGTACTATTTATAATATACAGACAAAGTTCTTTTTTTCTTCTTCATTAATTAATCAAATCTGAAATGGTATTATAATTTCTCTGACCATCAATATAATTCATACATTTTCTAAATCTTAAACCACTTGGGCATTGGTGGGATCAAATATTCTTGGGTAGCGGCTTCCTGTGTTATACATTTTCTGGTATTTTCCCTATTCAAAAGATATACTAGTTAGTTGTAAATAGTTTATCTGTGGCAACCCATAAATAGACATTTTCAGCTTCAGCAGGGCTAAAGCTCATACATTAATTGAGACTTTGGCAATTTAGAATCATATCCATGTTTGTTGAGGTTTACAGAGAGAGATTCTGTACAATTCAGATCAGAAAATTCAACCCACAACTTCCATGCTGAGAGGTATAGAGCCATTAACCTACCCCACCACCAAGCAAGACACATTTGATTGATTGGGTCAAGACATTAGTTGTATATTTATTCTTTTTAAACTGCTTTTTGTGTGTTTGTTTGTCTATGCTGCACTGTGACTGCTTTTACTTACGCATAGGTGCTTCTATACCAGTAATCTTTACAGTCAGTCACATGCTCTTGTTTGGGGTTAATATTGTTATGTTGTTAAGCAGTTGTAGTCATTACCTTGTCTGCATTTCTCATCCACAGCTCCACACGTGTCCTTATCACTGAATAATGCAGCAGTGGGCTTGGTGTCTCATATCGACACTTAAGAGAAACTTGAGGCAGTTGTATTGGTTTACAAGTGTTTCATGTGTGACTGTTTGATGGTCCTCTGTGGTTGCCCTGATAAACCGAGACAATTAGGTTAAGCCATTTGAACAGTAGGCCAAATGTACACTGGGTCAGAACATTCATCTCTGTAAGCAATCAATGCATAGAAACAAAAAGGGAAACTGGAAAATATATCAGCACATCAAGTAGTTAATCAGTGTAAGACTGAAAAGTGTTGAATTTATTTTCTGATCCATGTTATAATGTTGTTTCATCATCAAAAACATATCTGGATTTGTGTTTTGTTTCATTCACACATGTTTAATACACAAACCCTGCATATATAAGATGAGCTCTTCTCTCAATCTGAAAAACTAATTTTCACCTTGTGATGTCATGTGGTAATACAGGAACTGCTCCACTGTGTTTTTAAAGTCCACTTACCTTCACTAGAATCATTTGAATAATTTCAGCTCTTGAATTGCCAATACTGAACAAAAGGTTAAAGGAAGCTGTTAACTTGAAAACTACCACTATATGGCAACACAAGATAGAACAGAGAATTTTGAGCTTTTGAGATGTAGACAAACTAATATCAGGATAACTCAAACATGTGTAAATGAAACAAAACACATATCCATCCATCCATCCATCCTTTTCCGTCCGCTTATCCGGGGCCGGGTCGTGGGGGCAGCAGCCTAAGCAGGGACTCCCAGACTTCCTTCACCCCAGACACGTCCTTCAGCTCCTTCGGGGGTGATCCCGAGGCGTTCCCAGTCCAGCCGAGAGACATAGTGTATATATATGTGTATATATATATATATATATATATATATATATACATGTTTTTATCTCTCTGATAATGATAATTGTTTTGTATTTATAGCCTGCCCTATAACAACAACAACAGCAATTACTACTACTAATGACTTGGCATGCTCCTAAAATGGTCACAAACTATTATATGTTTTTAGTCCTTATGATTATACTGTGACCTGAATTATCACAATTAATTATTAACCAAAAAAACTAAGCTATCCTACTTACTACACTGTTTCTTCAAACTTATCTAAGTCACTTTTGTGCAAAATACCAAAATGAAGAAATCCTCTACTAATGTCTCTAAAAAGATCACATGATTTATACCAGATGTATATTACATATCGTGGTTGTGAGTCTTATGATTGAAAGTAAAAATATGAGGTACAGCTTGTCCAAAGGATAGCATTACTGATACAGACAGATGGATTACACGCATGTTTACTTCCCGATTTTAAGCAATGAGCAAAATGTTATTTAAAGTTGTTCAAAGAGGATGTACATTATCACGTCTTTCCTTTTGCTTGTGGTAAATGTCTTTCTTCCATTTCATACTTGTAGAATCACGTAATAGAGCAAAGTTTGGGGCACATTCCTCTCATTTAAGATCGATTTTCCCCTGAGCATGTCATGATCCGAATCCAAGGGAGTTATCCGTTATGTAATCGCTCATATGCAAACTATTAGTCTTGTTTTAGGGTGCGGCAGATCTCCGGGCAGCTCTTCTGGGGTCCTGACAGGGGAACAGTCTCTCTACCTTCCTAAACAGATCCCCCGTTGCCAGGACGACGAAGGCTTGTCCTGAGTGTGCTCCGGCATGTACGCTTTGGAAATGTTTATGCAAAAAGAGACGAAACACCCAGTTTGTGAGCGTGGAGGGCGCGTCATTAATATGCAAGACTTGGGGAAGAGATAGAAAGAGTTTAATTTGAAGAAGAATGAATAGATTCAAGATGTGGTTTGTTTGAATAAGTGTTTTTGAATAGTACTGATGTCTAAAACAAAAGTAAAACAATGCTCTTTGGTTGATTGATGAGCCAAAATTTCCACTCTTTTCCATGTATCCACCCTGGCCTTTCCCATTACACAAACACGCAAGGAAATACTTATTATACTAAATATATTCAGTGTAGCTTTTCTGCTAGTTTTGTCTGATAGAAACACATTGTTATAATTGGGTTTTTCTTGTAGATGAAGGCCACTTTTGTTTGTTAAATAAAGGATTAAAATATTGTAGAAGTCTTCTTACGGTCAAGAAAAGCAACTGCAACTGCAACTGGTCTGTGAACTGACTTTGTTTTTGTTTTGTTTTTAAAGGGATGTCAAGATTATTTGGTTAATTGATAATCACGATCATTCCCATCCAAATGTAATCTAATGAACTACAACACATAAACATGACAAAATTAAGTAATTATAAATGAATCAGTACTTTTAAAAAGCAAATCTAAATGTAGTGTTTTTTAATCTGGCTTTTTAAGTGATATTAACTTTACTTTATCATTCATATCCTAATGTTTAGATTAAGGATATTACTAACTTTAATTTCATTTCATTTGGTGTTAATATTTTGGTTTAATTATTTATAGCATTGCTGTTTCCATGTTATGACTAGGGAAGGAACATATGATTAGATTTTGATGTTGATTCAGGGTGGTACTGTACAGCTGGTGGAGGCCTTTGCTCTCTTATAATGTTTTTATAGTCTTCCAAGTGCAGAGAAGTGGAAGATATTAGGAATTTTTGGCTAGACGTGTTCTGCTCAAAGCCTTTCATACAGTATTGCCTTAGATTGTTATTATATCTATAACTGGGAACAGCACATTATCAAAACCTATTTCCTCTGAATGCTGAAGCTATATATCAGTTAGCTATTCTTTCATGTGAATATGCTACTCCAAAATTCCAAGACTATTAATTTCTACAAAACAATTAGCATGTTGTTACCAAATTTGTCTGTTTTTAATTAATTTGTATTAGCTGAATATTTTGCATTCTACTGTCTATTTGGTACAGATTTACGATGTCACTGCTGCTGTTTTGTGCATGTTTGTCTTTGTCTGTTCTTGTGTTGGAGAAATATTTCAAGCACTGTGGCATCTTAACGTTGTTCACAGTCCGTTTGCCAGATGTGCATCTCTTCAAGTTGACTGTAGTCTCATGCTGCTGTCTCATCGAGATGAAATGCACAAATAAGCCAAACTGCTCCTCTTTTAAAGCTCTCATTAAAACAAATAGGCTGATTCTGTGGGTTGTGTGGTGAAGTCAATATGGAGAGTTGTGCGAATGCCTTTACACTGACGTTAATAAATTATGCTGAGAATAACATAATTCATTAATTATTATTAGCACTGAGTACCCAAGTATACTAGAGAAAAATAAAACAAAAAGTTAGACAATCTATTAAAGAAACAATTAAACAAATACAAGCACATAAAATAATTAAATCTTTTTTTTTTCAAATAGCCCTCCCAACACACAGTCGTAGTTTATCTGTTTACTGCAATGTGTAAATATTGAAGTAAGTGTAGCTATTTCTGTTCACTTAATTACATAGTAGATCAGACGACCTACCCCAGCCCCCAATGTGTGTGTGTGGCCATGCTGTTTCCTTAGTTATATTTTATTAAATTTTTATTGCTTATTATTTGTGCTTTGTAACACCCAATTACATGTTTCTGGCATAATTAATACACTGGCCTGTTATTATGTCTCTGTCCTTAAACCACAATGAGAGGGGGTCGGAGGCAACGGCTGAGTAAACACATGCTCCCGAACCACATGACTTATGTTGACAACTGTTAGTGAAACCGAGCTTTCTGATCGGCTGGTTTCTCTCTTGGTTGTTACATGTGCCGAAAGACTAGACCTTTATTGAAAAAAGATGCAGATGTCCCTTTGCAGTTTTATATCTAGAAAGCTCCACTGCCTGCCCACCTGTTTTGAATTGACGTGTTTTAGCAGACTAAGCATTTTTTACTCAGACCAGTTTCTCTATTGCAAATGTAAACAATTAAAAGATACAGTCCAGTACACTCCAGAGGTTTCTGCCAGTGTGTTTGTGTAACTATAGCTACGCGCCTGTCTGTTACCTCTA